AGGTGGGCAGGACATGATTTTTAATGTTTCACAAGCCTTTTCTTTTAAAGCAGATACTGCATTTTACATTCACTTAAATGCTCTGCTAAAGGTTAATATCAGATTTAATTGGATATATTTAGTGTGTTTTGTATGGACTGAAAATACAAGTGGCTACTGAATAATTTTGGTCAGCTGATCTCATTGGTTAGCAAAAAAAAAGGATTAGAGGATTTTATTTCTAAATGGTAACTTTTGATTGTCTCTGTAAAAGTTTCTTGTAAATAAGGTGTGAGGTGTGTTTAAAATTCCAAACAAAGCTATCTCTGCATTTCCAGGTTAAAGTTCCATTGATTGCAGGGAATGTATCTAATTGAACGTTGGAGTAGGAAATGCAGGAATATATTTTGTCTGGTTGCATATAATCTCTGCTCTTTTTTAAGCTCTGTGAGCTCTGAAATATATTTTGGGTTACTTCAGTGTGTTTGACAAAACAGCTTGATATTTCTATCAACAAATGACTTTCATATTGCAACAATCTTTGTAAGAACCACTCAAATAAAATTCTCTTAAAGGCCCGTGGAAGCATTATTTTTGAGAATTAAATTGCCTATACACAATGCTATCAATTGAATTCTTAGCTGCTAAGTTTAGAAAATCAGTTGTAAACCATGTTTATATCAGCATAGATAGAATAGTAGATCAGAATCCATGTTATCTTCTTAATCAGCTATTATCTGAAATTACAAATCCAAACACGGATTATCTTAAGCAGAATACTGCCAACCAGCTATTTCATCAAATTCCACACTGTGTGCAGCTGTTTTAATTTTCCATCTGCCCCCCCCCCCTTTCAGATGCTTATTGTTGGTTTTCTTTCCCTTCTTCATTACAGCTGTCCAGCAATTAATACTGATATTTTTCAATAATTAGTTAATTTAGCAAACTTGGGTGGTGATGTTTTAAATATCCAGTAGATGGATAAATCCACACCAAATGGACCTGAACCAGTCCTTGCCAAATCTAGGAATGATTTATCCAGGTCTGTTCCCAAAAACAGATAGTGACTGTTAAATACTGTCAAGTTGACTTCCAACTTAGAACAGGCTGAGCATCCCTTATCTTGTATTCGAAATCCAAAATATTCTAAAAACCCAAAATTGTGCATATGCGTAGCTGATAGACACCTTTATTACTTATGTTTCAATGTGCCCAAACTTGTTTCATACACACATAATTATTTAAAAAATTGGGTATAAAATTACCTTCAGGTTATTTGTATAAGGTGTATATGAAACAAATGAATTTCATGTTTAGACTTTGATTCCTTCTCCAAGATACCACATATACGTATAAATACAGGCATCTCCCCCATATTTTAAAAAAGCAATCCAAATCACTTCTGTTCCCAAGCATTTCTGATAAAGGATACTCAGCCAGTATAGTTCTTCCCAAGAAGTATATACAGTGTTCAAAGGCAGAGTCCTTCTTGTTCTCAGTGGGGAAGAGGGTCCATAAAGTGTTATCTATGACACTCAGGTACAACCCGCATCTAACCTGGATACGCCATTTACAATGACACTATAATTTTTCCACTTGTTTTTCTTGATCTGTCAGAAGTTTCTCCACAGCTCTTGCAAATTCCATAGCATCACATTATTCAACAGCCATCTTAAGTCTGAAAATGCTCTAATAAACCAAGTTTTACTGCTTCTTCCAAAAACCTAATCAGATACAACCCCCCCCCCCCCCCCCCCCCCCCCCAATACATGTTACCAGTCACTGGTAGAAACAAGGTGGGGAAAGTGCATAAGCATTTCAGATTCCACATGTATCCCAACATTTTTGGAAGAAGGTATTTTGCTGAAAATTTCCCCAATGCATCCATGATCTCTGTGACACACACAAGTAGACTCTCCTGCACCTGCGCAGTGTATCATTTGGAACCTAGAGCAGTAGTTCTCAGCCTGTTGGTCCCCAAGCATTTTGGTCTACAATTTCCAGACATCGTAGCCAGTTTACCAGCTGTTAGGAGTTCTGGGAGTTGAAGGCCAAAACATCTGAGGGACCCACAGGCTGAGAATCACTGTTCTAGAGAATTACATAAGCTTTTTGGTTACATAAGCCTGCTCAACTTCTGCAGTGGGTTCAATTGGTCTTGTGTTCTTCATAGGATTCATCTTTTATCACAGGTAAATCAAAACTATCCAATGTCCCAGTGTTGCCAAACAGTCCCTTGACTCCAGGCTGGTCTTGGAAATGGAGATGGAATCCACTCCTTGGAACTGTTAGTAAAGGAAGAAGTAGGCCAAGAAGGTTTGACATTCCTGAAAGTAGGCCTGCACAACTTGGCAGTAGTAAGGGGCTGAAATCAAAGTAGGCTAAACCTCTTCAAGCTGCAGATTTTTAGTGCCTCAGGGTTACAAGATGGTGCCTTTCTCTTAGAACAAACAGCAAAGCAGATTAGCCTCGAATTCACTACCTCCCCTCAGCATGGTGGCAGGTTCCATTTTCGCCTCCACCCATTGCTTTCCATTTGCTTCTGGGTTGCCTGTGTTGTTTCCTTCACCAGAGGAAAAAACCACCAACTGCACCATTCATTTCACTTGTTTGTGGGGGAGAAGCTTGGCTTTGCCATGAAGACCTTGCAACATGTTCATGGTGAAGCTAAGTTTTTACCTCATAAACAACGGAAATGAGTAATGTGGAGTTGGTGATCTTGTTTCTAGATGAGATGACAGGCAAAAAAACAAAACAAAACAAAAAACAGCAGATGCAAGAACTTGGAAACTTCTTTACCACCTCCCTCATTGTCTAATAAAACGGTCAATCTGAAAAAAGGGCCAATACCCCATGAAATTTTATTCCTGCTCTTTACTATATCATGAGTCCCAAAACTTCCACAGGCTGTGTTTCCAACCAGTAACAGCACCTCCAGTGTCCTGACCAGTGGTGTCCTCTTTGCCATAGCTTAGTTTGGTAACTTTGGTGCACAGAGAAAGCAAATGCATAGAGGTAAAAACACTTAAGAGGGGGGAATGACAGGTTCCAATGGCTACTCTGCTGCAGCACTGCATGTGACCTTCTTAAGGCTTGTACTCAAGAGCCTCTGTGGGCTGCACCAAAGCCTTGTAGGGGCCATATCAGGCCCCCAGGCTGCATCTTGCACATGACTGCTCTAAAGTTATCATCACAAGTAGCTTCTCAGGACTCCTTGGTGTATGGGCCTATCCTTCCACTTCAGCCTGAACTGAGTCTTCTCATTTTGACCCCCTCCCTCAATTGAAATAATGGAGTTGCCATTAGCACCTTACCATTGAGCCACCAAGCCCAACAGGATACCAGAGATGTGTCTGATGGCAAGATCCTGGAGTCTTCAATTGTGGTTTGATTGTCCATATCACTCCCTCCTACTCAGCCTTCTGCTTGAGTCAGTGTGGCCACTTCCACCTATACCCTTGTCATTGCCCTAGAATCTGGAACAATCTCAGCCCCATCTTCTGTTTCCTCATCCTCTATTCTGAGGGATCATTCTAATCTGATTGATCCTAACTTAGTTTATACTGTGATGGCCATTCCCACAAACATGGCTTTCATGGCAGGAGGTTTAGTTCATTGGATCCATTGTTTTACTGCTGAGGAAGTTCCCAGTTGTGTCCTGCTCTCCCTATCCCCTTGGCTGCTGCTGCTACACCATCCAGGAAATGGAGGATATGAGTAGGAATCAGTCTTGGTAGTCACATGGAATAGGGAAGAAGGGCCTGCTGTTAAAATACTTACTTGACCACTGAAAAAGATTCCAAATTATGTCCTGCTGAAACAATAAATCTATTTTTGATAACTACGTGAAGAAGCATGCTGTATTACAGGTAAGCAGCCCATCCTTACTATCTAAAAGTCTCAATCCAGAAAAAGTGTCTTAAAGGTCCAGTTGGAAATGTTCAGAGGTAGCTCTGGAGGAAAAATATGAGAGACGGATCAGGTGATCCGAGTTTCCTTGTAGGGTCAGAGGTCTATTGTTCTGGGTTAAGGAGTTACTTAATAAATCCAGTTACACAGAAAGGGACTCCCCAGACGTTATTATGTAGGAGACACTTCTAATTAGGCACTTGGTGTCTAATTTCCTGCCTATAAACCCACTTGCCACTTACTGGTAGCTTTGTCTTTTTCATCCCTCCTTGACAATCAGCATTACTTTTTTAGAGTATTCATATTTTCCTGATCTTGAACTGGGTACAATTTGCAACTGTTTTACTCCTTCCTGGCTGTATCTGGATTACTGACTTGCTGAACAACTTCGTGACCATCTGACAACCACTCTATTGCTTCTCCTTCATCTCACTGGATACCCTGTGACTGACCTAGGCTGTACTGACTCGACAGCTTCCACACTACAACAACCTGGTCACTTGCTGACTGAAACATACGACAAATATCTGGCGTTTTACTCAATATTTTTTAGTAGGGGTGGAGTATGTGGTATTCTGTAAGTTGTCTCAAGATTTTAGGTAAATTTTGTTATATAGTGGAAATTTTGGACAGAAACTCCCATGGGATTCTTCACACTAAATATCTATATCTAAAGGAGGATCGTATCCGCATCTCTATTAATCCACATACATTTTTTGTTTCCCCTTATCACTTCCCATTCAAGGGACCATCTTTCAGGTTTGCCTCCACCCAAGTTTCTGCCCAGGTTTTAGTTTTACAATTACACAAAAGACTTCACAGACTCACATATATCCTTATTTAGACAACATTCCTATGTCCTCCACTTTCTCTGGAGATAATTACGTCTGTTAAGATATGTATGCTCGGAATCGAGATTAAATTGGTAGAGTTCTAAGATGGGTGTCCTCCAGGCCATATTCTACTCAAAACATGGTTGTATTTAGCGATGCTCTGGTCTACTATTTTGATTAATAAAATTCATCATACAGTTAAGGGTCTCCATTACTATTTCGCATTATGGAGACAAATATTTGCAGACTATAGCTGCAGAAATAATGGCTGAGAGCAAGTTTCTCTCCTGGTGCAAAGATGTTTATTGTATTACACAAAAAGACTTTGACTACTCTTCATTGTTAAAAAGTGTCATATTAACAGCGGATGCCCATGCCAATTGCCATAAATGTCCCAAATGTTCCTCCACTCTGCATCATGGTTTTGCCAACGCCACCCATCAGTTCTCGTCCTCTCATGCCAATCCTAAAAGAGAAAGAACAGGGCATAAACATTTATTCCACAACTATATATTACTGCATATAGCTGATGACACAAATGGGCTTCACCAAATTTCACACATCAGTCTCAATGTCAGATCAAAATTTAAGGTTAATGACCCCTTCAGTTGCAGAAGCAATTTGGAAGGCTGATTAGATCAGAAAAAATAATGTGTTTGTAATTCTCAGTCAGTAGATGAGCTACTAGTAAGTCTCCATTTTTTTTGCTGACATCAGTATTTAACGCAATTATTTAAGTTGACTACATAATGTTGTTATGTGTAAGGAATCCTCCTCCTTGGAAAACTCCATCTTTCCTGATATATACTGACAAAATTAAGAGTACAGTGAGTTTTTATCTAAAGAGAACATAAAACATGTCTAGGCCTTACCTTTCTGACACTGAAGATTTACTTTCATAATTTACTGTCATTTCAAATTATAGCACAAGGTTTATGGCCTTAAATTTATATTTACATTATAAATTAAATACATAAAAGCTTTTAACCACACCCAAAACTACTCCTTAAAATTAATTTAAATCCACAGACAGTTAAAAGACCCAGAGCAGCCCTAATTCAAAACATTAAAGGACAAACAATAGTTTTAAATACCTGCCAGAAACCCAGAACTCACAGAATCTAGAAGGGACTTCTTAACAGTGAGAGTAGTTTGCCAATGGAACCAGTCCTATAGCAATTTCAACATACCTGAGACAAGAAAATGTACCAAACAGTGCACCAGCTGCCATACCAACAGCAAAGCCCATCATGAAGCCCATTTTCACTCTGTCAAAACAACTGGGTTGCGACTGGCCATATGGCCCCACTGTTACAGGCATCTAGAAAAATAAATGAAAGTACTAATGAAGCACCAACATGAGATATATTGTTTCTGCAGATTATTCTCCTTTCCAGTGTAGATGAAATGTCTAAAGGTAACTGCCACTGGGATATTCCTTAGGCCACTTTGAAGTGTGGATTTGGCTTCAATATATGCTTTTTAGTAGGACTGTAATAACAGCTCCTGCAGAACAGGCTTTGATGTGAAATCCCTATTTTGGGGGGTGGGGGTGGGGTAGGATTTGTGCGACTATGTTACTAAATATTTATATCTAAATTTACAACATTTAAACTACAATTCCTGGAGAAGCTTGCTGAAGGTTCCCAGAAAAGTTAACTCTTCCTTTGCATTCTGCAATATTATTTATAAAGGCTTGATATACTATCATAAGCAAAAGAGGCAAATTTTTGCCCCAAAGAACTTTATAACTTGAGCTCAACTAAAAGAAAAGGAAAAAAACCCCAACAAAAACAATTATTAACAACAACCAAAACCAACAAAATTTAACATTAGAGAAATTGACCCATTTCAGAATGCATAACGTGGTAGATCAATGAGTTTAGTAACTATTCAATAATTTCACTACTAAGACTTTTGTTTGGTGAAATGAAAGTGATCTGGACCTTGAATCTGTAGTTGTTTACACAGTAATAGACAAACAGTGGCAGAGCAATACCAATTTGGAAATGATTCAGGCTTTAAGTGCTCCTTGATTGCATTATTCATGCTCCTGTAAGGGAATGAACTTAATGGAAAGTACCTACTGAAAGCACCATCAGTGCAGATGCTTCAGAAATCACTCAATAGGAAGAATACAAGTTTTGAAACTCAGAGAGAGGAAAGCATGACACACTCAGCACTCAGGGTCTTGTAGCACATTTGGGGCAGCTTGTGAATCGGCACCACAAGAGAGGGAGGTACAAACTGCAGTTCCATTTGTCTGTATAACCCATTGAGGATGCATTATATTGTAGAATTACAGCAGTTTGGCACCACTTTAACTGCCACAGATGAATGCTGTGGAATAATCAGAGTTGTACTTTGATGTGGCACCAGCACTAACTGGGAGAGAAGATGAAAGACATTGCAAAACTACAACTCCCACAACTCTATAACACTGAGCTGTGGCAGTTAAAAACAGTGTCAAATTGCATTGATTCTACGTTTGTACCAAAAGGGTAATAATAAATAATAATAAACTTTATTTATACCCCACCACCATCTCCCCAATGGGGACTTGGGGGAGCTAACATGAGGCCAAGCCCTTTAAAATACAATACAACACAATAAAATACAGAATACAAGAAACAAAATGCATCAGAAAATAAAATTATAATAACAAAGTAAAATAATAAAGCAAATTTACACAATAAAATCAAACAGGGTGGGCAGGCCAAATTGATGAGGTAAAATGACAAAACCCTGGGTGAGGTAGGAATAGAAAATAGGTAAAGGTAAAAGGTTTTCCCCTGACATTAAGTCCGGTCATTTCCGACTCTGGGGGCTGGTGCTCATCTCCATTTCTAAGCCGAAGAGCTGCTGTTGTCCGTAGACACCTCCAAAGTCATGTGGCCAGCATGACTGCATGGAGTGCCGTTACCTTCCCGCCGGAGTGGTACCTATTGATCTACTCACATTTGCATGTTTTCAAACTGCTAGGGTGGCAGAAGCTGGGGCTGACAGCGGAAGCTTACACCACTTCCCGGATTCGAACCTTTCGGTCAACAAGTTTAGCAGCTCAGTGGTTTAACCCACTGCGCCACCGGGGGCTCCAAGAATAGAAAATATGTAAGTGAAAATGAAACAGTGGGGTAAGGCTTTCAGTTTAGAATGGGGAAAAGTGCATCATAGGGGTAACACAAATGGAATGGATGGTCACTCTCCAAAGGCACAATGGAAAAGCCAGGTTTTCAGGTTTTTCTTGAAGTCTGGTAAGGAGGGGGCTAACAAATCTGATTTTAGTCAACTTTAGGTTCAGCTTTGTTATTTGAGGTGCTGATTCAGAAAACTGCAGTGGATAAACCACATCAGCTCTAGTTTCTGATACAGAACATATCCCGTCCAGTAGTCACTATCTACTTGCCAACAGAAAACCATATTTAATAAGCCTCGGCACTATAAGAGGGTTTTGTGTGACCAGTCGCGCTCGTTGCAACAGTGTAGTAACAGTGAGGCCGTGAACTGGGACTGTGGTGCAGCTGGCTGGGAGTCAGCTGCATTAAGATCACTACTGACCAAAAGGTCATGAGTTCGAAGCCAGTCCGGGTCAGAGTGAGCTTCCGACCATTGTGTGTAGCTTGCTGTTGACCTTTGCAGCCCGAAAGACAGTTGCATCTGTCAAGTAGGAAATTTAGGTATCGCTTATGTGGGGAGGCTAATTTAACTAATTTACAATGCCATAAAATCTCCAGCAAGCAAGCAAGCAAGCAAAGAATGAGGAAGTACTCCATCAGTGTCTTAAATGGACGGTGAAGCGACAGCTCCCCTGGTGGCCAGAATTGTCACATGAAAGCTGGAAAGTTAAATAGTCTCTGTGTGTCTGTCTATATATGTTGTGTGTCTATGGCCTTGAATGTTCGCCAGGTATATGTACATTGTAATCCGCCCTGAGTCCCCTGGGGGTGAGAAGGGCGGAATTTAAATACTGTAAATAAATAAATAAACAAATGTTGAGGATCCCCACAGACCACAGGTTGGGAACTATTGATCTAGAGGGTTTTTGACTCTTCTCTGAAAGAAATTTCATGCTTTTATAAAAAAATATATAATCTCCAAAAGAAGTCAATTATGCTGGGGAAAATGGAAGGAAAAAGGAAGAAGGGCCGACCAAGGGCAAGATGGCTGGATGGGATCCTTGGAAGTGACTGGATTGACCTTGAAGGAGCTGGGGGTGGTGATGGCTTCCGCCCCTCCAGAGGAACAGTGGACATGATCTTCACTGGATGATAGCTCCAAGAAAAATGCAGGGAACAAAATCAACCTCTGTACATGGCATTCATGGACCTTGCAAAGGCATTCGACACAGTGAATCGCAGCGCTCTCTGGACCATCCTCCAAAAAATCGGATGCCCTAACAAATTTGCAAAAATCCTGCGGCTCCTCCATGATGACAACAGTCTTGGACAGCAATGGCTCCCAAAGTGACCCATTTAAGGTGGAATCAGGCATCAAATAGGGAAGTGTTATTGCCCCAACTTTCTTCTCCATCTTTGGGAAGCCCTGGCCCTTGAGCGCTCCATCTGGAGGTCAGCTGTGACCAGCAGTGCTGCAGAATTTGAAGAGAGAAACATGCCAGGAGGAAGGCACATCAAGCCAACCCCGACCGAGACCGCCTTCCACCTGGAAACCAATGTCCTCACTGTGGGAGAAGATGCAGGTCAAAAATAGGGTTCCACAGCCACCTACGGATCCACAAGAATACAAATCATGGAAGACTATCTTACTCATCCAACGAGGGATCGCCTAAGTGTAAGATAATGGCCGACAGGGAGCTCTGCTGTGGGCTGGTCCATGCGGTCATGAAGAGTCGGAAACGACTGAACGAATGAACAACAACAACTCCAAAAGGTTATGAATGCCTGTGATGTCTCGGCCTAGTTATTTTCCTGTTTATTTCCCTGGAGTTACACTGTTCCATTCTGTTAAGTTTTAGAGTAGGAGCTTAGGCTCCCCCTATAGGCCGAGCTCTTTGGTTCAGCCCATTCTGCCTGGTGAAAGACTTTTTGGCTCCATTCCTTTTGGTCATAGTTTATAGATAGTTGCCAGAAAAGTGTCTGGTCTGGCTTGCAGTCCGTACAGGCCATCCTTATCACATATTTGCTTTAGAGTTTATAGTAGATGTTATAAAGAATAGATAATATATGCTTCATAGAATTCTTAGATAATACATGCCTTAGAGTTTATAGTTTATAGAATACTTACCTCATAGATTAGAATATACATCCCCCAATAGTTAATAGTTATATATGCCATAGTTATAGCACACACTTGCCATAGTTTATAGTAGGGGTCCTTAAACTTTTTAAACAGAGGGCCAGGTCACAGTCCCTCAAACTGTTGGAGGGCCGGATTATAATTTGAAAAAAACATGAATGAATTCCTATGCACACTGCACATATCTTATTCGTAGTGCAAAAAACACTTAAAAACAATACAATAATTAAAATGAAGAATAATTTTAACAAATATAAATTTATTAGTATTTCAATGGGAAGTGTGGGCCTGTTTTTGGCTGATGAGATAGGTGGTTGTTGTTGTGTACTTTCAAGTCGTTATAGACTTAGGTTGACCCTAAGCGAGGGCCAGGTAAATGACCTTGGAGGGCCGCATTTGGCCCCGGGCCTTAGTTTGAGGACCCCTGGTTTATAGAATACTTACCTCATAAAAATTATAGTTTGTTATCTCAGAGTTTATATTTCACTGTTCTAACACCATCATAATCAAACTGTACTTTTATACCTTGATTATTCAGTAAACAATTGTTGAACTTAATCTTGTTTGTAGAGTTTTATTTTGGGGGAATTATAGTAATTTAGGGCATACCGATGGTCACTGGGAAAATAGCCAGACACATTTAGTTTCTCATTAGATCTTCCCGGTGTGCCATCATAGCCATTTTCCAAAACCTAGGACTTGTAGTTTTACAGGGCCTTTAGCGTTCTCTGTGAAAGAGCTACCAAACGACAAAGCCCATGATTCCACAGCAGGCATGGGCCAACTTGGGCCCTGCAGGTGTTTTGGACTTCAACTCCCACCATTCCTAACAGTCTCAGGCCCTTTCCTTAAGCGGCTGAGGGGGAAAAGGAAAGGGCCTGAGACTGTTAGGAATGGTGGGAGTTGAAGTCCAAAACACCTGCAGGGCCCAAGTTGGCCAACGCCTGTCCTACAGCATGTGACATAACCCAGGACAAGGCCTGTGGAGCTTTCCTGTCGCCCATGCGGGTCAAGGAGTCCTTTTTACCAGGCTCATTTCTCTTGCTCAATGGGAGAAAAGGAACTTTTTGCTAGGAAGCTCCCTCCTTCTTCCCCCCTCTCCTCAGATGAGGCCCCCTCAAACAGCCCTCTTTACCTCGACTACTCCGAGCTCCGCCAAACCCCGCTCTGCCTTCTTTTTCTTCCTTGGGGCGACGCTTCCGTCGCGCCCTGGTGACGTCACAGGAAACAAGCCTCCCTCTGGCGTCGTCTCTGAAGGAGAGAGAGAGAGAGAGAGAGAGAGAGGCAGGCGAGATGTGGGTGCTGAGGCATGCGCCGCGGCGGGTCTGGCGGGTCTTCCAGGCCAGGAGGCTCTCGGGCCCCGCTCAGCAAGAAGGTAAGCCTCCCCTTCGACCTCCTAAGTGCCTTCAGGAGTCACCCAGGGGCGGAAATACCGCACCCCTTGAACTGCCAAAGCTCAGTGTTATGAAATCATGATAGCAAGGCACCAGCACCTCTTGGCAAAGAAAGAGAAAGGCCTTGTAAAGCTACAACTCCCAAGACCCCATCGCATAGAGTCTTGGAGCTTGAGCTTTTAGGGAAAGCAGCTGGTGCGGCTTGTCAGGGATGGCAACTGTTTTGTTGTGGCTGAGCAAGGGCAGACTGGTTATATAACAATAATAATAATAATAATAATAATAATAATAATAATAACTTTGTATTGTCGAAGGCTTTCATGGCTGGAATCACTGGGTTGTTGTAGGTTTTTCCGGGCTATATGGCCATGTTCTGGAGGCAATTTTTCTTCTGACGTTTCGCCTGCATCTATGGCAAGCATCCTCAGAGGTAGTGAGGTCTGTTGGAAGTAGGAGAAAGGGTTCCCCCCCCCCCCACTTCCAAGCAATTGAATGCTAATCAAGGTGATCAGCTGAAACATTCACATCTAGCCCCAGCAGACAAAAGTCCTTTGTCTCACCCTGGTCATTCCACAGATATATAAACCCAAAATGGGTTTATATATCTGTGGAATGACCAGGGTGAGACAAAGGACTTTTGTCTGCTGGGGCTAGATATGAATGTTTCAGCTGATCACCTTGATTTATTCTCTCACGCATTCATCAAATGCAACATAGCACAATTACTTATTTAAGTTCAAGATAAAGGTGAAGTAATTCTGTCCCTTTATCATTTAGTAGTGTGTGGTAATTCCACATGTGGCCACAATCATTTCTTTGAATGCAATACCCTGCACAATTATTGTAGGGTGCTGTATCATTGTGGACAAGTATACAACAAAAAATAGTATTGAAAGAGCAGACATCCAGAATGGGTTTTTCCTACTTCCAACAGACCTCACAACCTCTGAGGATGCTTGCCATAGATGCAGGAGAAACATCAGGAGAAAAAATGCCTCCAGAACATGGCCATATAGCCCGGAAAAACCTACAACCCAATAATAACTTTATTTTTATACCCCGCCAACCATCTCCCCTAGGGGACTCCAGGCGGCTTACAAGGGACACGCCCAAAATTACAATTAAAACACACAACTAAAACACTTAACCAATTAAAACATCAGCTAAAAACAAATAACAGCACAACTGAAAGCAATATAAAAATAATACGGCTGAAAGAAACATAGCTGAGGTATAGATTCAATTAGTGCAATACATTTTTACAGGAGCGCAGGAAAGTGTAACAATACAGTAAACTGGGCATGAAATACTGTCATAACACATGTTGAGACAGGTTGGCTTTCCCCTGACATTAAGTCCAGTCATGTCTCACTCTGGGGTGTGCTGCTCATCTCCATTTCTAAGCCGAAGAGATGGCGCTGTCTGTAGACACCTCCAAGGTCATGTGGCCGGCATGACTGCATGGAGTGCCATTACCTTCCCTCCAGAACAGTACCTATTGATCTACTCACATTTGAATGTTTTTGAACTGCTAGGTTGGCAGAAGCTTGGGCTGACAGCGAAAGCTTATGCCCCTCCCTGGATTCGAACCTGCGACCTTTCAGTCAACAAGCTTAGCAGCTCGGTGGTTTAACCCACTGCGCCATTACACATGAGATAAGATCTCAAGTTAGATAAGGTTTGCACTTTAGGCTGTATTTTTCCATTACTGCCTTCCAGTGTAGTTGTACTACTAGTAAAAAGGTCAAGGTTTGCCCTGACATTAAGTCTAGTCGTGTCCGACTCTGGTGGGTGGTGCTTATCTCCATTTCTAAGCTGAAGAGCTGGTGTTGTCCATAGACATCTCCAAAGTGATGTGGCCAGCATGACTGCATGGAGCACCATTACCTTCCCACCAAGGTAGTACCTACTGATCTACTGATTTGCATGTTTTGCATGTTTTGAACTGCTAGTTTGGCAGAAGCTGGGGCTAACAGCAGGAGCTCACCCCACGCCCTGGATTTGAACCGCCAACCTTTCAGTCAGCAAGTTCAGCACCTCAGCACTTCGCCACTAATACCACTAGTATTATTACTACTAGTAATAATAATAGTCATCATATTTTATTTGTTAACACCCCTCTTTGATGCAGTTAACAACATAGGGTGCATCTACACCAGGCATGGGCAAACTTGGGCCCTCTGGGTCTTTTGGACTTCCACTCCCACAATTCCTAACAGCCAGTAGGCTGTTAGGAATTGTGGCAGTGGAAGTCCAAAAGACCCGGAGTGCCCAAGTTTGCCCATGCCTGATCTACATTGTATAATTAATTTATTTTGGTACTGCTTTGGGTGGAATAGCACAGTGCTATGGAATCCTGGGAGTGGTAGTTTGGTGAATCACCAGCAGAGAAGGCAAAAAACCTTCTAAAGCTACAACTCCTATGGTTCCCTAGCAGATAAAGTGGTGTCAGCTGCATTGATTCTACAGTATATGTAATCATTATAGTTAAATTACATAACTATAAATCATATGGAATATTTGGTGATAGTGGAAGCAGAGCGTGATTAAGGATTTTGTCAACAAAGGTATTTCACGCAGCATCCACCCGGATAATTCGGGCTGTGGCAAATGTCTTCCCTCCTCCCTGCATTAGCCCATAGTTCAGACAGAAACAGCTCTTTCTCCTAGCGTTGCATAAGTCTGCATTTCTCTTCCTCCTTTTATAACCCAGGGCAGTGTAGTTGTATCCTGCTGTCAGTGATGAAAGACTTATTGATGCAAAGCTACTGCAATTTCTTTTGGAGCGAGTTCTTTAAACGAAAGCTCTGAGTTGATAGATTTGCTTTGGTAACTCTAATGGGAACCCAGTAGCATATATCTGAAAATGTTTTGACAATGAAATAGACTATTTTAAACATTAGTAGACTGTCAATTTCATCAGAAGCTTGTAGACCAGCATTACATATTTGGTTTTCGGGAGTTGGATTGTTTTTTGGAGTCCCTTCCAACTCTAGAAACCTTTGAGAAAGTTGCTCACTTTTTCTTGTTGAACAGACATGATCTTGCACTTTTAAGGCTAAACTATGAGTTCACCTCAACTATTTAGTGGTTGTATAGGATCTATTTTTGTAACTGGGAAAAACTGTTTAAATGACCTTACTTTGTTTAAAAGACATATCATTATGACTAACCAATCAGCTTAGTGATATTTACAGTCAGCCCTCCACATTTGCAGCTTTCACTTTTTCAGTTTTGATTAATATATGTTCCCTCTAGAAATCTTTAGGTTTTCCAGTGCAACTCTATGGTCAATGTCTGCCGTACATTGCCCATTTCTTGGTACTCCAGTACAATTTTGTGATCAGTATTCTACGGAATTTGACTATAGAATTGCACTGTGGGGCTATGAGTTTCTTAGAGAGGTGTTTTCTCTGGTTAAAAAAATAATGTTCTTTTAAAAATTTATGCTTTTCCCATTGTGACAGGAGTCCTGGGCCACTAACACCATTGAATCTGAATGTGGAGGGCTGACTGTCAATTGGTGTAGGGATCAGTTTTATCACTGATATAACTACTTTCAAGGAAGTGCTGAAAGATTATTAAAATAATATTTGAATTGATATTAATAAATTTCTGTTCACGTCTTCTGCATATTTGCATTTGTTACTCATGTGGTTGTGTTTTCCTAGGTAAAAGTAATGCTGAAGAAAATACACTCCGACCATTGTACATGGATGTCCAAGCAACTACTCCTATGGTTTGTAAACTAAGTATTCATTTTGGGATAGTCTTTTTTTAGAAGAAGGTAAACAACGTAGTATTTGTAGAGGAATCCTGTGTACTTTTTACTCAGATGTAATTTCTATTCCTTTTTGGGGGGTGAGTGGGTTACCCCCAGATAAATGTACCTAGGTGTGCAGTATACTTCAGTATGTTTTGATTGTGAAAAAAATTATATGGAATCGAGCAACTGGAGAAAATGAATTAAAAAGTTAGCAACTTTAGAAAGTTAGTTTTCTAAATAAATCTTGATTTATTCAGAAATTAAGATTTGCCATATTCTAAGCTATTATCCCTCTGTGTACATGCATGTAAGTAACAGGGGAGGAAAAGATGCTGTATTGAAATAAGAACATTTTATAACTTATTTTCTAGGACCCCAGGGTTTTGGACAGCATGCTGCCTTACCTTGTGCATTTCTATGGCAACCCACACTCTAGAACCCATGCTTATGGGTGGGAAAGTGAATCTGCTATGGAAAAGGCCAGAAATGTAAGGTTTCTGTATTCTTCTTATAATTAATTTTGTTAATGTTTTCCTGCTCAGCTGTACTGCATTTCTATGCTGCTCAATATTACTGAAATTGCAGAATGAATTTTATTTTCTGTTTCAAATGCAACTTAAACTGTTGGGTTTTTTTTTTACAGCAAATTGCATCTCTAATAGGGGCAGATCCTCGAGAAATTATTTTTACCAGTGGAGCAACAGAATCCAACAATATAGCAGTTAAGGTAAATGATTCTACTGTAGTATCTGATATCTCATACTGCAACTCTCAGTAGTTAGGCTTTGATATTATATCACTAAGAAGTTTAATATATTAGGAATCAAGAGCACAATTATCTATGTCTGTGCTTGATGAAATATCTGAAAGTTATGGCAAGCCTCAGAATAGTATTAAACCTGTCATATGGTATGCAATCTGCTTAAACCAAGCAAAAAACCCCGTTCTTTTAATAATTATTTAAATTATTTAAATAACTGTTTTAAATAATTAAATAATTATTTAAATTATTTAAAGAACTGTTAAGATATAAAACCAACCATGATTTCTTTATATAGATAATGTGATGTGAATATTTTCTAATGGTGTTAATTTATAAACCTTGTTTATTTCACAAATTGTATCTGAAAATAACTTTTTTCAATAAAGGCTTTTTAAAAAAATCTGTAAATGTGTATAATTGTATATTCACAAGGCTTTATAATGAGATGAGCCTTTAATACAGTTTGGCATTAGCTTAAAAAGGTTTGCAACATACTCAGAAAGAAGCTTTGCAGAACTTAATGGGAATTACTACCAAGTAATTATGGATAGAACTGAAGCTTTAGGTTGTAATCATGCTTAGGCTGCAATCCTTATATATATTATTCCTGGGAGAATGTTCCAGTTAGGCCTCTTAATAAAAAGGTATGCAGTTTTATTCTTGCTATTAAGTAAGTCCTAGTGAAGACATGGGTTATAGTTATAGTTCTCAGTAAACATGTGTAGGATTGCACTGTTTGTTTCATTGAGCGTTTTACCTAGGATATGAGTAGCTTGTTGCAAAGATGACCTAATTCAGCCAGGAATATACTTAAAGCATCTGTGCTAAGCAGTCATATTATCAGAATAGTTTGAAATTACAGGTCTCTTTCCTTATGCCAACATATTGGACTGCAAATGTTCCTATGACTGCATATATTTTCCTTGGTAGTTATACCCTACTATAGTAACTATTTAGAATAAGAATATCATAGAATATTCCTTGCAATGATAACAGCTGGAAAGTTTTACATAAATATTGATCAAAGTGGAAACATCTATTCGACTAGTACTGTCAGTGGCATAATTCTCTGTGTACTTTTCTGGATTCAGTGGCATTAAAACCCATTCAAGTACATATAGGATTACATCCTGAGACAATGTTGTTCACAGGTGCTTGGGATTAAGGCCCATAAAATTCAGCGAGGCTTTCCCCCCACAGGAAGCACATTTAGGATCTTGTTTGCAGTGACTCCAAGCAGCCAAGTTACTCAGCATTTCAAACCTCTGACTCAACATTATTTTTTAAAAGCTAAAGTATTCCGGCATCTTTAAAACTGCCCTCTTTTTGTTTGATTTCTTTAAAGGGTATTGCAAGATTCTATAAATCCAGAAAGAAACATATAATTACAACACAAACCGAACACAAATGTGTGTTGGATTCTTGCCGTGCACTAGAAGCTGAGGGCTTTAAAGTTACATACTTGCCTGTAAAGAAAAATGGAATTATAGATTTAAAGGTGAGTAACTTGAGGTGTGTTACACATTCTTGAATTTATTACACATAGCAATACAAGGAAAATGTTTGTCAGGTAAAAATGAGAAAAGCTGACACTTGTTCTTCTGTCACACTGAATTGCTTCAGCAGGCATAGTAAGCATAAAGTTAGATATGCTTGTATTCAACTGGATAAGATTTAACCAATCAAACAAAATTACTATTGAACATAATGGAATACATTGCAGTACTTGGCATTGCAAATCAAAGTACATGTTTTGCAGCCCTATTAAAAAATGTCTAAGGCAGTTTTTACTTAATTACAAGATATACAACCAACACAAAAATAAATCCAAATGATTGTTATCCAACAGACTGTGCAGCCTTATGAATGTGCACAGGAAGTTTTCATTTACCACATCCACCCTTGAATTTTCTCAAAGTATTGCTTGCTCCTCTAATGCACACACCTCTTTACATCTGACTCCTTGATGTCATTGAAACATAACTATGCCAAACTTTTTTCTGAATTGTACCAAGTTTTAGTTCTGTTATGGAAATTGTGAACAGACCTTTACCACATTCAGATTTAATGTGTTTATTGCAAGTAGTTGAATTAAAATCTCAGTATCATTTATAAAGAGCATTTACTTCCAGTGTTCATGTAACTTGAATTACTTCATTCTCTTGCACTATTTTTTCCAGGATCTACAAAGTGCAATACAACCAGACACAAGCTTGGTTTCTGTGATGGCTGTGAACAATGAGATAGGAGTGATACAGCCAGTTGGTGATATCGGTAAGTAGATAATGGCTTGGCTTCAGCAAAAAAGCCCCAGAGCATTAAGATGAAATTATATTAACACAGAAGAATACAGGAAGTCTACATAACGGTGCTTGGAAACAAAACACTGACTCATTTCAATGTGTGTTCAAGATTTGTAGTGATCAGAAGAGATCTCTGACAGAGTTTCATGCTTGAAAAAAGGGAAATATTTATTAGAGCTACTACTTGTTGCTCTTTTTATCAGAGCAGAAGTACAAACCTTAAGCGTTGAGATTTGTTGTGTACGCAGTTAAACTTGTCCCCAATATTAGTTTAGGAATGGCCAGAGAAAGAGAGGTTCTCATTTGGTCTTCCCCAAAATCAACCTTAGGAATGATTTAGTCCAGCTGATTTTCTCTTAAATAGGCCTTAACTCTTGTACAGCCGCATGATTGAATAAGTTAGTGTCTGTATGCATAGATGATTCTGTTGCCACATATTCCTAATACATATTTGAAGAGCTCCCCTGAAAGTGAGGCCTCCTGGTTCTCTTAAAGTGGAAATAATTAAATTTATATGTCTTGAAAATTGTCCTTAAAATAAATCTGAAGCTTTTCTTTAGATATAACAATTTTAAAAATGAAAATTGATGTCAATGAAATGAAAATGTATCTAATGAGTATCAATGGCTACAGAATATTTGGCCCCAAAATATTTGTTTCTTCAATTTTATGGCGTTTAATTTTTCTGGCTGTTAAATATTCCTCCACTTGTTTGATTAGTTATTTACATAAAATTGGGAGAAATTGCTAATCCATTCCAAGGTGTTGTGCAAAACTAAGGTTTGGGTGTTCATAGAGGAAACAAGTGTACTGTATCTTGTAACCAGACAAAAATGATATTTGTATTGAATGATTCTTGTTTTGTATTACAGGTCGGATCTGCAGCTCCCATAAAATATTCTTTCACACAGACGCTGCCCAGGCAGTTGGGAAAATCCCACTGGATGTCAATGAAATGAAAATTGATCTAATGAGCATCAGTGGCCACAAAATATATGGCCCCAAAGGTATTTGTCCCCCCCCCCCCCCCCCGATATTATGGCATTTAGTCTTTTTGTCTGTTAAATATTCTTACATTTGTTGTATTAGATCTTCAAACAAAGTTTGGAGAAATAGCCAAAGGTGTACCATAAAACAAAGGTTTTGCTATTTATGGAGGAAACAAATGTATATTGTAACCAGAAAAAATAATGCTTTGCATTGTATTGTTGCATTGTTTTTGTATTACAAGTTAGACCTGCAGCTGCAAATGTATATTGCTTTCTATTGTATATTATTTCTAGCTGCTGGGAGCAACACTTTTACTGGATTCATCCCAAGGGTGTAAAATTACTTAAAGAAAATTCATTAGGAGACTTAGTTTTATCAGGGAGCTGTAATATTTTTTTCCTTTTAAGAATTCTGTTTGCCTTACTGATAAATTGTAGGTGAATGAATTACAAGTTCTATGTTTTTATTACTTGAATCCAGAAAAAAAATCTGTCCATACACATTGTGACTGCATTGAAGTACTTGTGATTTTCAGCTTAGAATGAATGGCTTTCATTCTAAAAATCCAGGGAGCTGCAGAGGAGGAGAAAATATCCCAACCTGACTTCCACTGACAGAAGCATTTTCGTCTGGCTGTTCTGTGAATGGAAGAATTTCATGTAGGCCCCTTCTACACTGACATATAATCCAGGCTATCAAAGCAGATAATCCACATTTTCTGCTTTGAACTGGATTATATGTCTACACCGCCATATAATCCAGTTCAGAGCAGAAAATCTGGATTTTATATGGCAGTGTAGATGGGGCTGAGTAAAGTCACTCTGCCAATAAAATTACACAACTTGTTCTTAGACATGTTGTGTAAATTACTTTATGTCATCGTCTTCATTCAGTTAATAACTGTCTGCAGACTGTTCTGTTGTTGTGTTTATCCTTGGTGTAGTCTTCTATGCATGTGTGTATGTCAGTGCATAACAATGTATTTCAAGTTTTGTAATAAGTTATGAGCATCTATGTATCTTGGGTATTGTGAAGCACACTCTTTATTGAATAAGATTGCCAGGTGAAATAATGGATAGATGTTCCTTTAATGGTCATGCAGAAGAGAGAATTCCAGCCGGTTTTGCTTGCATAACTAGCCACATCTGCTTACATTCCCTCTTTTACACTATTATTACATAGATACCTGCCAGTCCACATGCATAGCACTATTCTTGGAATCATGGCTACGTTTCTTGAAGTGCAAATGGTTAATCTTTTTGATTACTGGAGTGTGTCTGTGTATGAATGCAGCAGAATGTAGGGATGTCAGAAACCCTCTGTTATGCTTTTCTTCATGATGCCACATTGTTTATTCTTATTTTCTAGAACAAATTAATGATGAAGAAAGTATTGAGTTAGGAACAGAACAGGGATTTTGATTTGTTAAAGGAATAGCTACTAACTTGACAGAAAAGTTGTGGGTATTAGGGGAGTTTTCCATCTTTGGAGGACCTTATGTATGGTTAGAATAATTGGCATAACCACAGGAAATTGATTATATTCTTATTTAAAACTCACTCATGTTTTTTTCTTCTTGTGACTGAGGATTTTGATGAAAGAATATCGATACAGGGAGGAAAAGCCTTTCTGAACATTCCCAAACTTTTCAGTATGCATAATCTTCTGTTTACTAAACACACTTTTCCCCTCAAGGGGTTGGTGCAATTTATGTTCGGCGACGACCAAGGGTGAGAGTGGAACCCATACAGAGTGGAGGAGGCCAGGAACGAGGATTACGTTCGGGGACTGTGCCAACTCCTTTAGCTGTAGGCCTTGGAGCAGCTTGTGAATTGGCACAGCAAGAGATGGAGGTACAAAGTGCAATTCCATTTGTCTGTACAACTGATTGAGCATGCATCTATACTGTAGAATTAATGAGGTTGGCACCACTTTATCTGCCTTGCTTTAATGCTTTGGAATCCAGGGATTTGCAGTTTGGTACAGCACTAAGCCTCTTTGGCAGAAAAGGCTAAAGAGCTTGTAAAACTACAATTCCCATGATTGCCATAGCATGTAGCCATGGCAGTTGTGATGTCGAATTACATTAATTCTACAGTGTAGAATTGTACCCTGAGATCAAGTTAGCTTAGCTAGCTTTATTTTGCTGTGTTTTAACACAATTGCCATAGTAGGAAGTTTGCAAAAAAAAAGTTTGCAAAATACTCACCTGCTTATTTGGATGAGGGCTTAACATCTCTTCCTTTATACTATAGGTTTAATCTTGTTCCATATTTTCCCCTTAGTTTAAAAAAAAATACAATGTGCTTCAATGATCTAAACATTAGCATCTTAATAGAACCATTTCCTGATACATTTTGATTTTAGTAATGCTGCAGTCGTTAGCTAAGTAGTCCATTTTTCTTCTTGCATGTATCGGCTACAGAACCGCCAAACTCGGAACTGCAAATATTTTGATTCCTCTGCTGCTGCTAATAAGAAAAGTTGTAGTTTCTAGAAGGAAACTAACCATTTTAGTAACTACTTGGGTGTATTCCTTATCAAGGATTGAGACACCTGACACAAAATTATACGTCTTCAGGTTTAAACATACAGCAACAAAATATGAATCACTAGTATAATATTTTGGGTAAATAGGTAAGGAGATATCTGTGGATTTGTTAATTAGCTGATTGGTATTCTTCTTTGTTTTCTAGTATGACCATAAGCGAATTAGCTTATTGGCTGACAGGCTAGTTACAAAAATAATGGCAGAAGTTCCTGATGTGGTAATGAATGGAGATCCAGAGAACCGATATCCAGGTATTGTTAGAAGAATATTGTGTTCCCTTTATTTCTGAATTTATTAAATACCAGTAATTATCTTAATTATCTTGATAATGCTCAAGGGTTCTTAACACCCCCTTCCCCCAAATAAAAGAAAATTAATAAACCTCTTTGTAAACTTATGTGTAGAACAGGAACACTGTGCTGTAATTTAAAATGTAGTTAGATTTCCATGTGTTCTGTGGTTAGTGGTGCAGGGTCCCTGTGTAAGTGGAAACACTGAAGAAAAAAAAGCCACTTTTAAAAAACTTGCCATTTGTCTAGGAATTTATCATTTCTCAGGTGCACCTTTATGGTAACATCATGTAACATCTACATGAAGCAGCTGGGAGAGATCATCCGGAGTTTTGGAGTTTGGTGCCATCTGTACGCAGACAACATCCAACTCTATAACTCCTTTCCACCCGCTGTTAAGAAAGCTGTTCAGGTCCTGAACTGGTGCTTGGCAGCCGTGACGATCTGGATGAGGGTGGACAAATTGAAATTGAATGCAGAAAAGACAGAGGTACTCCTGGTCACAAGACCAAACATGGTATAGAGTTGCAGCCTGTGCTGCACAGGGTTACACTCCCCCTGAAGACACATGTTCGCAGTGATCCTGGACTCATCGCTGAGCCTGGAACTCCAGGTCTCGACAGTGGCCAGGGGTGCTTTCATACAATTTAAACTTGTGTGCTAATTGTGTACATGCCTTGAGAAGGCAGACATGGCCATGATAGTCCATGCTCTTTTTACATCTCGAATAGACTACTGTGATGCACTCTGTGGGGTTGACTTTGAAGACTGTTTGGAAGCTCCAAGTAGTCCAACAGGTGGTAGCCAGATTGCTCACCGGAGTGGTCTAAAGGGAGCATACAACCCCTCTGTTACGTCAGCTCCACTAGCTGCCAGTGTGCTACCGAACACAATTCAAAGTGCTGGCTTTAGCCTATAGAGCCCTAAACGGCTCTAGCCCAACTTACCTGTCCAAACGTCTCTCTCCCTATGAATCAGTTAGAGCATTAAGATCTGCTGAGGAGGCCTTGCTCTCAGAACCACTCCCTTCGCAAGTGCAACTGTTGAGGGTCCCTCGTTATGGAACTCCCTCCCCAGTGATATTAGACTGTCCCCTCCCTCTTGGTTTTCAGGAAAAAAGTGAAGATCTGGCTATGGGATCAGGCATTTGGAGAGTATTGTAATACAGAATCAGCATAATGCAGCAACACGAATGATGACTTTAGGACTAGGTGTCATGTTTTTAACAGTTTTATTGTATGTATGTGATTTTATGTTTATTGCTTAATTGTTTTATTGCTTATACGATGCATTGTTTGTATATTTGTTTTATGCAGCATTGAGTATTGCCAACTGTAAGCTGCTCTGAGTTACCTTGGGGTGTGAGAGAGCGGGATAGAAATATAATAAATAAATAAATAAATAAATAGTGGTTAATCTCTGCCAGAAGTTGACCATATGATTGTGCTGGAAGACCTAGAGATTCCTAAAGAGACCATATCAAATCTACAAAGTTAATCCCACAAATGTGGAGACTGTAGTATGTAATCTTGTGTGCTATCCTAAAAATAATACATTACATATCATTAAAAAATCATATTTTTTGATATTTTCCATGCTGTAATTTCCAAGAAACTCCAGAGATAGGCTTGCTATAAATCAGAAATTATTTTTATGTACCTAACAACTGTTTAAATTAGTATTCTATGTAGGTTTTACAAATGTAAATATAACTCTCTTGTACAGAGAGATAGATTAATCTTTAAAGAGGATGACTATGCTTTGTTAACTCCCCAGGCTGCATCAACCTGTCTTTTGCATATGTGGAAGGAGAGAGTCTGCTTATGGCACTTAAAGATGTGGCACTTTCTTCTGGAAGGTAATACTGAATGTGAAAGAGAAATAAAGGGCCTCAAGAATGGTCTGAGCATTCAGAAGCTGTTGGGGCACAATGTCTGGTTGTCCTTTTACCATGTTTGCATAAAACTGTTTCACAGCCCCCTAATGCAAGCTGCTCTTTGTTCATCAACAGCATAATAGACAAGCTTAGGAAGTCAATGGGAATGCAAACAGAGCTCTGCCTCATGAACAGAATGTATATTGGTTATGAGGTGCACTATAAAGCTATTAGCCCCAAATGTGCTCCTTACTGATGGCAGGCTTGCTACCTCTGTTGACAGCGTAAGGTGTGATCTATCACTTTTAAACAGCATGTCAGTGTCAGTTTATGACCAACCAATTCAAAGACCTTTTTTTAATTTGCATCGGAATTACATTGCTTCCATTCATAAAGAATTTGCTTCTAACATCATAGGTCCTTTTAAAGATTCTATTAATATTTCCCAAAGTATAAACAGTATCCAAAACTGGATTTTTATTGCCAGAACTGAAATCAAATAGAAGTGAGTTCCCCACTGTATTCAATCAGTGCCCACAAAATTAGCTCCGCAGAGATGAGAAATCTCAAAGGCTGATTTTTCTGGCAGCACGGAGAGCAGTAGGAAGGAGAAAAGGGCAATACAAGCACGATACTGGATTTTTATCTACATAATTTTAACAGGTTTTATTGTTTAGCCTTGAATCTGCCTTTTAACATCATTGCCCGCATCTTCTCAGTTTATTTATCTTTTCTCCTATCTCTTTTCAACTCTCTTAACTTTTGCAATCATAATAATTCAAAGCATTCTGATATTTTGCTCACACCCAACACATTTAATTGTATTACCACAATATCTCTTTTTTCTGCTCCTTTCTACCCTTCACACCTTTCCCCTAATATTGGTTTTATGTCTTCTCCATTACATTTCAACTTTGTAAATGCCTTCATTCTGTTAATTTCGCATGGGGGTTCTGTGTGGGAAGTTTGGCCCAATTCTGTCATTGTTGGGGTTCAGAATGCTCTTTGATTGTAGGTGAAGCATAAATCCCAGCAACCACAACTTCCAAATGTCAAGGTCTATTTCCCCCAAACTCCACCAGTGTTCACATTTGGGCGTATTGAGTATTCATGCCAAGTTTGGTCCAGATCCATCATTGTTTGAGTCCACAGTGCTCTCTGGATGTAGGTGAACTACAACTCCAAAACTCAAGGTCAATCCCCATCAAACCCTTCCAGTATTTTCTGTTGGTCATGGGAGCTCTGTGTGCCCAGTTTGGCTTAATTCCATCATTGGTGGAGTTCAGAATATTCTTTGATTGTAGGTTAACTATAAATCTCAGCAACTACAACTCCCAAATGACAAAATCAATCCCCCCCAACCTCACCTGTATTCAGATTTGGGCATAAAATACATCCTGCATATCAAATATTTACGATTCATAACAGAAGCAAACTGACAGTTATGAAGTAGCAACGAAAATAATGCTATTTTTGGGGGTCAGCACAACATGAGGAACTGTATCAAGGGGTCGTGGCATTAGGAAGGTTGAGAAACACTGTTCTACCAGATAGAGTCAAGAAGGACATTTGGACAACATAAATAACTCATATTCTTCAGGAGTATGCTACTTTAGTGCAGTTGGCTATGGTAGTTTTACATCCCTTATAAAATGTAATAATTTGACAATTTGTTTTCATTTTCTTCAGTGCATGTACATCTGCATCTTTGGAACCATCATATGTGTTGCGTGCAATTGGAACAGATGAAGATTTGGCTCATTCATCTATAAGGCAAGGGTTTTAGTCACTTTGAGTCTTTACATTGTCGTATAACTTCTGTCAAATGCAGAATGTCTCTCTGCGTGTATAAGTATTGTGTTGCTTTTAACAAGCTCTGTTTCACTGCAGGTTTGGCATTGGCCGTTTCACTACAGAAGAAGAAGTGGATTATACTGTGACAAAATGTATACAGCATGTCAAGAGATTAAGGGAGATGAGGTAAAATTCTTCTAATTTTTCGACATTTAACCATTGCAGAATTTGTCTACCATTACCTTTGTTGTCAAGAATTCATTGAAATTCAGTGGTTAAAGTGGGTCAAGTCTGGGAAAGAAGAATAGTATTCAATGCCTTCCTCTGTTGAGGTTGAGGACTTGCTTTAGGCAAGGAATAAATGGATTCTGGGTGTTCATGTAGGGAGCCGCATGCCAGCAGTAAATGAATAAATGGTTTATCATACCAGCCACAGGTCATGACATCAAATAATATACAGCCTTTAAAAGTACAATAAGCACTTTCCAATATAAACATTAAAACTTATTCTATATAGTGGCTCTTTAAACAGTTGCAGTGACATAACAATAACAATGTCTGATTTGTATCATCCCAAATGATCTCCATTTCCATTTCTAGCCTCCACTGTGGATTTTACAAATTTAGCTCAAATTCTTTGGGTTGCGACTGCAAATGTGGCAACCTTTAATGCTGTATTTTTGGAATAATCCACTAACAAGTCACAGATAACTACTGACTGTTGCCACTACTCGGTTTCATTTACTAAAGAATGAGCAATATTGTCAACAATATCTTTAAGACTTAACATCTGTAGCCCTTAGAAAAGCATTTACAACCCTGCACTTCCAAACATTCCAGCAGTGAGTAGAGGCGACTCCCAAAATATTTAGAGCCATTTTACTTCTGGTATGAGGCCTGTGATATAAGCTGCATCTACACTGTATCATTAATGCAGTTTGACAGCACATTAATTATCATGGCTCAATGCTGTGGAATTGTGGGAGTTCTAGTTTCATGATGCAGAGGAGGCAAAAGACCTTGTAAAATCACAATTCCTATGATCCCATAGCATTGAGTCATATAATTTAAAGATGTGACAAACTGCATTAATTCTAAAGTGTAGATGCACCCATGGTTTCCCTGACTTCATTTGCATAAACGAGTGACACCACTTTATATATATTTATATTCATACACATACTATCCTTTACTTATTGTGACAAGTTTTTTAAAAGCCTCATTGTAGTGGTGGAGATGGCAATTTTGAAGAAAACATTGAGGAGAGGAGGGTTATGCTCTCCCTCCAACTGGACACTATCCCCACACAAAATTTTCCCTTCAAGTTAGGGTTTAAAAAACATAATTGACAGCAGAAGTTCTTAGGACGGAAAGGAAAAGCCTCACTTTTCATTATAGTACTTGTCAGCACAAGCATGGGAGTTAAAGATTTTATCTGACACTTGGATCAAATTTCAAATTCCTTCCCTGAGGTGGAATTTCTTGCCTATGATGGAGTTTTATAGCTATTTTAAAGACACATTTTTAGTCTGTTTTAAATGTTTTCATTTTTGTATTTAATGTTTTAAATATTTGTTAGCCATTGTGTGTCATGAATGGAGGGTGGTGAATATGTTTCACTCAAACTTTTATAAATTTGTTCAGTCCCATTTTTGTTAGCTGCTCTGATAGACAGGGATATGACCTTTCTTAGGCTCCTACATTCTGTATCGAACCACCTTCTCTTATCAGGCTTGCAGGCTTTAGTTAGTTCTGCACGGATCAAATATGGTTTAAGGGAAGTAATAATTTGCTGATAGCCCTCTATTGGGTTTATAGTACATTTGAGGATCTTATCTCTACAGGTTTCCAATATTGGTCCATTAATTAGGTCCATAACCTTGACGCTCAAGGGCTCATACCAGTTGAGCCTCCTAGGCCCCATGGATACCAAGTCCATTGCATATTTATTTGGTAATCTGGGCTGCTCTACCTCTGTTTTTATGACTAATTTAATGGGGTGATGATCACTTTCTTGGTGTATGTCCACTGTAAAAGTCTGGACTGCTGACAGCAACCCTGGTGAGATTATGAAATAATCCAGTACTCTTCCCCCCCCCCCCCCGCTCCGCCCCTTACTGAGTGGTAAGTACATAGGCCGGATGACTCATCTAAATAGCTACCATTCATGATTAGTAAAAAATATTTATAGGTTAGCAAGAATAGTTCCAGCCCATTCTTATTAAATTTCATATCTGTCAAATGTCTATTAAGTGAGAATTGTTTCTCTAAATACAACCCAAAATGCTGAGCTAGTATCTCATTTGATTTTTCCATTCTTGCATTGAAATCACCTCCCAATACAATGTTCGTATTTTCCAGACCAGCGGTCCTATCTCCCAAGACTGTATGTTAAAAAAAAAAACCTGTATCTAAAAAAAACAACAATTGCTATATTCTTTGGCTGACTGCACCGAATTTACTGTGGGCACATAGACGTTAATACAAAATAAGCACAAGTAACTCTTAAGTTTTATCTGGATGGTTAGTATATTATTATTAGACTGATTAGTCATAATTTGACACTAAGCTTCTAGTTCTACTGAAACTAAAACTGCTAAACCCCCACAGCAGCACCCCCACTTATGCCGTCTCGCTGCTACCACTGCAAAGCTTCCAAAACCCTACAAATTAAGATTTGAGGCATCCTCCACCCTGTAACAATATAATAGTGAATTCCTGTAAATATTCTACGAACTTTTTATCCACTAATTTTCTGGCCCATCCGGATATATTCCAGGACAGAATCTTTAGCTCCTTTGCTGTTTTCCTTCCTATATAGTTGTTCAAGCCAGCACGTTAAGTCTATTTCAGCCTGCATAGATTCTACTAGCTTATCATGCTGTCCCTTAGTCAGATTTAATAACCCTCCTGTGGGAGGATGGTGATGGGACAAATGTCTTAAATACTATCCCCAACTAGAGTAGACCTATTGGCTTAATGTGTTTGAAATACATGTTGAGCCACTATTCAATAATGGATTAAGTAATTGAGTTGGGACTATCGGTAGGATTCAAACAATATACTACACAGAATTCGTATTTCTTCAGAGGCAGCTATTTTTAAATAACATTCTGTTCTTACAAATTCTTCAACATTTATTAATGTCAGATGTTAGTTGTATTTCTAGGTAATGACTGCAGATTTTCCTTCTCATTTTACAGTCCGCTGTGGGAAATGGTACAGGATGGCATTGATTTGAAGAGCATTAAATGGACACAGCATTAAAGAAAGGAGATGCCTTATAAACGTAGACTGCACTGATGTGGACTGAATGGATGTATTCTGTACATGCCCAAAGAAAACTATGTGGCACCTATTTCAAAATGCACAACATCTCTGTGACAAGGGAATTGCCATTTCTGAATACAGAATCCGAAAAATAAATCTGAAACATGTAATCAGACCTATATTACACAGCAAATATACAGAGACATCTGGTTCTTTGCACCAAAGAAATTACTGTATTTTTATTTGAAGGTCAACGTAGTATGTCAAGTAAGTGTTGTACTCTGAAAAATGTTTCTGCGATGTTTTCTCTCGAAACAACTTTGCATCTGTTTCATCAACATTTATTCTGCAGCAGAAAAATGTATTTGGATGTACTATATGGTCAGAAGTAAACCTTTTATCCAAGGTAATTTTCCATCTAAAAATCCTGTGCCATATTTTTGATCAGTGGTGTGTATGTTATAATAATTAGTACAGCTATGGCAAGGCCAAATAGTGATTGAATAAAGATGACTTTGCTCATAATAAAATGCAACTTATTCTCATAATACAGTATTAGTGTTTCATGTTTTCCCCTCCTGATTATTTTTCCTGACTCTTTATTATAAAGTATTATCTTAAGCTTTATGGACTTAGGTGATATACAGTGTGTTGTCACTATTGCTTCCTTATGTAACTATGGAATATAAAAGACTGTTGCTTTGGGAATAAGGTCAGGCTTGCATGAAAATATTCCAGCATTGCTTTTGCTGGATCATAATAATGAAATAAAGGTGAAGCCTCTGCCTTTCATTTCAGGCAGTCTGCCAGAGCAAAATTATATTACACAAACACTACTAATGTTACAAAATGTAGAGCAGATTTTCTCAAACTACGGTCCTCCGGGTATTTTGGACTTCAGCTCCCAGAAATCCCAGCGAGTTTACCACCTGTTATGAATTGTGGGAACTGAAGCCCAAAACATCTGGAGGAGCGCAGTTTGAGAAATTCTGCTCTACATTTTGTAACATTAGTAGTGCCTTTCTGTTCCAACATGGAATAGTGATTTAAACACTGGAGTGTGCCTCTGGAGACCAGGGTTCGAATCTGCGCTCTACTATGGGAACTCATCTTGTGTAAGTCAGATTCAGCCTTAGAAAGGAAAAGCCCCAATGAAGAAATCTTGCCAAGACATCCCTGTGACAGGGTCACATAAGTGAGATATAACTTGAAGGCACAAAACAACAAGCAACAATTAAAAGCCTACTTGTTCCATACAAACACTTGTAAACTGTGTCTACTCAAATTCCATAATTTCAGGGATTAAACAATAGCAAACAAAAACTTTTTAATTGTGTGTCATAGCCAGGGAGGTCTGTATTGGTAGGGAGGTAATTTCCTAGATGGCTTTGGAGAATGAATCCAAGAAGAGAACCAGTTGTGATATTTTCAAATACTCCTAGTGTACTAATGTACTCTGGCCTGCAGGCTGTAATCTTATACATGAAGTCTGGCAAATCTGTGTTTAATTTTAAGAGTTACAACCAAAGTCAGAAAGCGTTACCTATTACCAAAGCCGCAAATGGTATCATTGCTACACTGAAGAATACCACACAGGCACTTGCAGACTGCTGAGATGTTATGGGAAAATATGCCTTAACTAAATAATATACAATCCTTTGCATATGTTACATGTGTCCAGTGCAAACTTCTTAAAAAGACAACCTACCTCTGGAGCAGTAATTCACCCAGGACAGAAGAACATAGTGACTCCTGTTCAGCGGAAATAAAATATCAGTGAGAATGTGTCCGTCCCCCACCCCACAAAGGCTGTCATATTTGCCAGGAGAAATGAAATAGGGATCCAAAGTCATCCCACCAGACTTATACAAAAACATTGCTGTCAATGTAACACAGAAACGACAGTTTCAGAGTGTTTTCAGATGCCTTGGAGGGCTGTATCTGGCCCCCGGGCCTTAGTTTGAGGACCCCTGCTATAGAGCAAGCATGGGCCAACTTGGGCCCTCCAAGTGTTTTGGACTTCAACTCCCACCATTCCTAAGAGCGTCAGACTCCTTCCTTTTCCCCCTCAGCTGCTTAAGGAAAAGAAAAGGAAGGGGCCTGAGGCTGTTAGGAATGGTGGGAGTTGAAGTCCAAAACACCTGGAGGGCCCAAGTTGGCCCATGCTTGCTCTATAGCAGGGGTCCTCAAACTAAGGCCCAGGGGCCAGATACAGCCCTCCAAGGCCCTCACTCAGGGTCAACCTAAGTCTGAAATCACTTGAAAGCACACAACAACAATCCTATCTCATCAGCCAAAAGCAGGCCCACACTTCCCATTGAAATACTAATAAGTTTAAATTTGTTAAAATTGATCTTCATTTTAATTATTGTATTATTTTTAAGGGTTTTTTTGTACTACAAATAAGTTATGTGCAGTGTGTGTAGGAATTCATTTTTTTTTCCAAATTATAATCTGGCCCTCCAACAGTTTGAGGGACTGTGATCTGGCCCTCTGTTTAAAAAGTTTGTGGACCCCTGCTCTATAGTATGATGAAGCAGCTGAGGTGAAAAAGAAAGGGGCCTGAGGCTGTTAGGAATGCTGGGAGCTGAAGTCCAAAACACCTGGAGGGAGGGCCCAAATTGGCCCAGGCCTGCTCTATAGTATGCTTAAGCGGCTGAGGGGGAAAAAAGAAAGGGCATGAGGCTCTTAGGAATGGTGGGAGTTTTAGTCCAAAACACTTGGAGGGCTCAAGTTTGCCCATGCCTGCTCTACTTACTTACTTTATTTAGGCGATCCCTTGTTTTCCGAGAAGGATTGTCTTCCAGTATTCTTGTGGGTCCGTATGTGGCTGTGGAGCCCTATTCTTGCTCTGCATCTTCTTCCGCAGCGAGGGCATTGGTTTCCAGGTGGAAGGCGGTCTCGGTCGGGGTTGGCTTGACGCGCCTTCCTCTTGGCACGTTTCTCTCTTTCGCCCTCCATTCGTGCCTCTTCAAATTCTGCAGCACTGCTGGTCACAGCTGACCTCCAGCTGGAGCGCTCAAGGGCCAGGGCTTCCCAGTTCTCAGTGTCTATTCCAGAGTTTTTAAGGTTGGCTTTGAGCCCATCTTTAAATCTCTTTTCCTGTCCACCAACATTCCGTTTTCCGTTCTTGAGTTCGGAGTAGAGCAACTGCTTTGGGAGACGGTGGTCATGCATCCGGACAATGTGGCCGGTCCAGTGGAGTTGATGGCGGAGGACCATCGCTTCAATGCTGGTGGTCTTTGCTGCTTCTGACGTTTGTCCCTTGGTTCACCGAGGAGTTGGCTGTGATGAAGCATACGAGAAGGGGGCTAGAGCGCAAATGGAGGAAATCTCGGGATGTATCTGATCGAACACGGGCTAGAGCCTCTCTTAAGGCATACTCCGTGGCCATACGGGCGGCCAGGAAGTCATTCACGACCGCTCGTATAGCATCTGCAGCAAATAGATCATCGGAGCTGTTTCGGGTCGTGGGGGAACTCCTCCACCCACCTGTGGTGGAGGAGGTCCCTGACGACCCCGCAGCTCGGTGTTGCGACTTCGCGCACCATTTTGCAGATAAAGTCGCCCAGATACGTCTCGAGCTCGACTCCAATTCCATCGCAGTGCCTGAAGAGGTGACGGAGGTACCTGCTTGTCCAATTTTGTGGGATTCTTTTAGGCTTGTTCTTCCTGAAACAGTGGAGGAGATTCTTGGGGCTGTGAGAGCGACCACCTCATCTCTAGACCCATGCCCATCTTGGCTCATTAAATCAGCCAGAGGGGGGTTGCTTGACTGGTTTGTAATGATTATTAATGCATCGTTGGAGCAAGGAATTTTTCCATCTAATTTGAAGCAGGCCGTGGTTCGCCCACTTATCAAAAAAGCTTCCCTTGACTCCACGGTGCTGAATAACTACAGGCCGATCTCCAACCTCCCCTTTTTGGGTAAGGTGATGGAAAGGGTGGTCGCCTCTCAGCTCCAGGGTTTCCTAGACGATACCAACTACCTAGATCAGGCACAGTCTGGTTTCAGGCCTGGTCATGGCACCGAGACAGCCTTGGTCGCCTTGGTGGATGACCTCCGCAGAGAGCTGGACAGGGGGAGTGTGACTCTGCTGGTTCTCTTGGACATCTCAGCGGCTTTCGATACCATCGATCATGGTATCCTTCTGGGTCGTCTCTCTGGGATGGGCCTTGGGGGCACGGTTTTGTCGTGGCTCCAGTCCTTCCTGGAGGGACGATCCCAGATGGTGAAGCTGGGAGACGCCTGCTCCGATCCCTGGCCTTTGACCTGTGGGGTCCCGCAAGGCTCTATTTATCTCCCATGCTCTTTAACATCTACATGAAACCGCTGGGAGAGGTCATCCGGAGTTTTGGAGTTGGGTGCCATCTCTACGCAGATGACACACAACTCTACTACTCTTTTCCACCTAATTCCAAGGAGGTCTCGGGTGCTGGACGAGTGCCTGGCCGCTGTGGCTGTCTGGATGAGGATGAACAAGCTGAAGATCAATCCGACAAGACAGAGGTCCTCCTGGTCGATCGTAAACCGGATCGGGGTATAGGGTGGCAACCTGTGTTGGACGGGGTTACACTCCCCCTGAAGCCACAGGTCCGCAGTTTGGGTGTCCTCTTGGATTCTTCGCTTACACTTGAGGCTCAGGTGTCGGCGGTGTCCGGGAGGGCCTTTGCACAACTGAGACTTGTGCGCCAGCTGCGACCGTACCTCGCGAAGGCTGATCTGGCCGGGGTGGTCCATGCCTTGGTCACCTCTAGAATGGATTACTGCAATGCGCTCTACGTGGGGCTGCCCTTGAAGACGGCTCGGAAACTTCAATTGGTCCAGCGGGCAGCAGCCAGGATGCTAACTGGGGCTCATTATCAAGAGAGGTCTACCCCTCTGTTTAAGGAGCTCCACTGGCTGCCATTTATTTTCCGAGCCCAATTCAAGGTGCAGGTGCTCACCTACAAAGCCCTAAACGGTTTGGGACCACCCTACCTGCGTGACCGCATCACCATCTACGAACCCGCACGCTCGCTTCGGTCATCTGGAGAGGCCTTGCTCGTGATCCCACCCACGTCGCAAGCGCGCTTGGTGGGGACACGGGACAGGGCCTTTTCTGTGGCGGCCCCCCGACTTTGGAACGCCCTTCCAAAAGATCTCAGACAGGCCCCTACTCTAGCCGTTTTCAGAAGGAATTTAAAAAGTTGGCTGTTCCGCTGTGCCTTCTCAGATTAGGAATCCCCACCCCAAGTCCTAGTAGCACTTTAGCTTAACAAACCGTTGCTGCACACCGCACTTTTAATCCTACGTGCCTCCTGTCACTTCAGCACTTTTAACCCTTGTACCCCAGTGCGCCGGCCGAACCAGTTTTTAATAATGTCTTGATGTATTGCCATTGTCGTTATCTTGCTTATTGTTGATTTGCTTTGCTATTGTGTTGTTATCTTTTTATTGTATTGTGTTTTGAGGCTTCGGCCTGTGTAAGCCGCATCGAGTCCGTCGGGAGATGCTAGCGGGGTACAAATAAAGTAATAATAATAATAATAATAATAATTGTCCGCCGTCTTCACAAGAGATTTGCAGGATTTTCCGGAGGCAGCGCTGATGGAATCGTTCCAGGAGTTGCATGTGATGTCTGTAGACAGTCCATGTCTCAGGCATATAGCAGGGTTGGGAGGACAATAGCTCTATAAACAAGCACCTTGGTATCCCTACGGATGTCCCGGTCCTCAAACACTCTCTGCAGGGATGCCTGCTCTATAGCATGCTTAAGCGGTTGAGGGGGGAAAGGAAGGGGTCTGAGGCTGTTAGGAATGCTGGGAGTTGAAGTCCAAAACACCTGGAGGGAGGGCCCAAGTTGGCCCAGGCCTACTCTATAGTATGCTTAAGCGACTGAGGGGGGAAAAGAAAGGGCCCGAGGCTGTTAGGAATGGTGGGAGTTGAAGTCCAAAACGCTTGGAAGGCCCAAGTTTGCCCAAGCCTGCTCTATAGTATGCTTAAGCAGCTGAGGGGGGAAAGGAAGGGTCCTGAAGTTGCTAGGAATGGTGGGAGTTGAAGTCCAAAACCCTTGGAAGGCCCAAGTGCCTGCTCTATAGTATGCTTAAGCGGCTGAGGGGGGGAATGAAAGGGTCTGAGGTTCTTAGGAATGGTGGGAGTTTTAGTCCAAAACCCTTGGAGGGCCCAAGTTTGCCCATGCCTGCTCTATAGTATGCTTAAGCGGCTGAGGGGGGAAAGGAAGGGGCCTGAGGCTGTTAGGAATGGTGGGAGTTTTAGTCCAAAACCCTTAGAAGACCCAAGTTTGCCCATGCCTGCTCTATAGTATGCTTAAGCGGCTGAGGGGGGAAAGGAAGGGGTCTGAGGCTGGTAGGAATGCTGGGAGTTGAAGTCCAAAACCCTTGGAAGGCACAAGTTTGCCCAAGCCTGCTCTATAGTATGCTTAAGCAGCTGAGGGGGAAAAGGAAGGGGCCTGAAGCTGCTAGGAATGGTGGGAGTTGAAGTCCAAAACCCTTGGAAGGCCCAAGTTTGCCCATGCCTGCTCTATAGTATGCTTAAGCAGCTGAGGTGGGAAAGGAAGGGGTCTGAAGCTGCTAGGAATGGTGGGAGTTTTAGTCCAAAACCCTTGGAAGGCCCAAGCTTGCCCAAGCATGCTCTATAGTATGCTTAAGCAGCTGAGGAGGAAAAGGAAAGGGCTTGAGGCTCTTAGGAATGGTGAGAGTTTTAGTTCAAAACACTTGGAGGGCCCAAGTTTGCCCATGCCTGCTCTATAGTATGCTTAAGCAGCTGAGGGGGGAAAGGAAGGGACCTGAGGCTGCTAGGAATGGTGGGAGTTAAAGTCCAAAACCCTTGGAAGGCCCAAGTTTGCCCAAGCCTGCTCTATAGTATGCTTAAGCAGCTGAGGAGGAAAAGGAAAGGGCTTGAGGCTCTTAGGAATGGTGAGAGTTTTAGTTCAAAACACTTGGAGGGCCCAAGTTTGCCCATGCCTGCTCTATAGTATGCTTAAGCTGCTGAGGGGGGAAAGGAAGGGGCCTGAGGCTGCTAGGAATGCTGGGAGTTGAAGTCCAGAACACCTGGAGGGAGGGCCCAAGTTGTCGCCTGCCTGGGTGAGGCCTTAGGGCAGGTCCTGGTGGTAGACGGGCAGCCTTCTTAGGCCACGCCCTCTCTCAGGCCACGCCCCTCCCTCAGCGGCGGAAGGCAGGGGCCCGGAGGCGGTGCAGGCGGGCGGCCATTTTGTGGCTCTGCGCGGTGGCTGGCGCTGGGCTCGGCGCGGGGAGTGGGGCCTGTGTGGCGGCGAGTCCCTCTCTTTCTAACCCCTTTCCTCCTCCTCCTCCTCCTCCAATTCCCCCCGTGCAGGCCGCTCGGTAAGAACCCAGAGGCAGCCTCGGCCGTCCCTCCGGCTTCTGAGGAGGACGTGCCCGGCGCAGGCCTCTCCCCACACAAAGGCGGGAGGGCGGGAACTAGGCCTGAGGGGAGATCACTAAGTCCAGAGGAATGTGGGCTCTGTGAGGCGGTGTGGCGTGGCTGGGCCGCTTGTGGGCCCGGCGCGGTTTGTGTAGCCCCTTCATTTTGTGAGGTGTGCGTGTAGGTGAGTATCCTTGGATCCTTCCCCAGGTGGATTTAACGAAGCCAGGGCTTCGCGCACCCGGGATTTGCGGTGGATCTCCTCTCGGACAGAGAGAGGATGGTGTGGGCATCCTCCTGGAGGGAGAGAAGGAGGGCGCTTTGAAGCCCAGCCTGTTCTCTTCAGAGAAACCAAAATGGCTGGGCTGCTGCTGAGATTTCGGCCTCGACCTGAGCTGCAACGTTTACGCCTCGATTCTCTGACGTTCACATCGAATTAAGTGTCACTCTTGTGCTGTGATGGATTGTGATATTTCAGAATGGCTGCTTAGTACTATCTTTGCGCATTTTGGGGTAAAAATGGCTTGTGTTTGGTTTGTTTTTTTAATGTGAATGACCTCAGCATCTGATTGTGTTATGGTGTGAATACAAGACCTGATATTTCTAAGCCTCTTTGGGTGCAAAAATTAAAAGCGGCGTCATGAAGTGGTGTTTGCGAAGCTGGTTTTGGTGGTGAGTTGGAAGGGAAAGGCTTAAAAGATCACATTTGGCTTGACTTGGTTTACCTGTTTAGCTCAGTTCTTTAAATACTGTGGAATGGATTAGTATATTGAATTAAATGAGGAAAACAACATGGTGCGGGTAGATTTGAACCTGGGCTAATTGCACGAAATTATTGTATTATTGTGAGGACTGGCTCTAAAATACAGGTATCTCGTGCCCTGTATTTGAATAGCTTCTGTTCTGCTGTAAAGATTGACATTTTAATGTGTTGTGGAAGACTTCAGTGGCTGGAATCACTAGGTTGCTGTGAGTTTTCCGGCCTGCATGGCCATGTTCCAGAAGCATTCGCTCCTGACGTTTCGCCCACATCTATGGCAGGCATCCTCAGAAATTAAACTCTTGTGCCGGCAGGACTAAAGACTGACAGATCAGAGGTGTGAATCTTGGGAGAGTGTGGATGAGCTCCCACTGCCAGCTTCCTATAGGGGAACATGGGAAAAGCCTCCCACATGGATGGTAAAACATCAGGGTGCTGCCCGCTGGGCAATATCCTTGCAGAGGGCTAATTCTCACACCAGAAGCAACTCCTGACATGAAAAAAAATCCTCTGAGGTTGACGGGTTGGCTGGAAACTAGGCAAGTAAGGTTTATATATCTGTAGGTTGCCCAGGGTAGGAGAAAGAATTCTTGTCTGCTTCAGACAATTAGTAAATAAAGAGAAACACTCAAAAAGCAGGGGAATTCCAGGCAAGAATAAATCAGGGCTCGTTAGCACCTTCCAACAAAGGATTACTCCAGGCATCAGCCAGCCAGGCTTTGAAGCTGCAAGGCCATTCAGTGCTAATCGAGGTGACCATTTGCAATATTCACACTTGCCCCAAGCAGGCAAGAGCTCTTTCTTCCACTCTAGACATTCCACAGATATATAAACCTCACTTGTCTAGTTTACAACAGACCTCACAGCCTCTGAGGATGCCTGCCATAGGCGCGGGCGAACGTCAGGAGAGAATGCTTCTGGAACATGGCTATACAGCCCGGAAAACTCACAGCAACCCATTGACATTTTATTTTGCGGGATAGACATTTATTTGAAATAATACTGTCACAAAAATGCATAGTTGACATTAATTGGCCAATTGTAGAATGACTGGTGTAAGTACTTTTAAAAGTTTTCCCCCCATTGGCAAGAAGGTTATTATTTCTATTATCTTTGGCTCTTCCATTGTGAATTCTCCTAATGTAGCTCATCTTCCCACTCCTTTCTCTCCTCGTGGGGTAGGGAACAGTGAATTGTGGTCTTAGCAGCATTTGCAGTGTGCTGAATATTACATTGAGATGTTACTTTTTGCAGCTGCATATGCTGTGCATTTCATTCATCCTAGGATGTTATCCTAGTTTTCATAGAATGTTGATGTGTTTCAGAATTCAAACGTGTTGGGAAAAAGTTGCCTCAATCAGTGGTCAAGACCAGAAATAATGAACATTGCAGAAAGCCTGAGTGTGCATATTAGTGTATTTTTTTTCAAATGGCTTTGATTTATGCTTCTGTTTCTTATTATTGGAATTATACATGGAGTATAAAACACAGGCTATAGAGATGTGGAGAAAACTGTGTTGACAACTTATTCTACTCAATAGCGTCAATGAGACACATTTCCAGGTTCATGTCATTTCTTCTGTAATGTCTGTGTAGAAAATCTATGAGTCAAATAGAAATGAAGTAAATAATCTTTAGAATTGGGCCAAAATCGTTCACCAAGCTAATGGCTTTGCGTTAAACAAAATCTTGTAAGTGGTTTGAGACCTAGTGAAAAATGTCAGTAAATTATTGTGTAAATGAACATGTTTACTGTGAGCTGCTTTTAAAAACTGATTAATTTAGAAAGCCGTCGGTTTTTTTAATGCACATTTGTTGTTCAGACTAACGTTTTGACAGAAATTCTTGTGGGTATTTTTACTTTTTGTGATGATGATTGTTGGGTTCTCTTTTGGAAGGTGTTTTGATAAATGATTAGATGGTTACTGTGGTCAGCAAATGCTTTGTTTAAATTGAGCCTAGTAACACTAGAAAAGAGTTAGAGTGAGGTACAAAATTGACATTGTGTATCAAGTTGTTCAGGGGGACGTAATTCCTTGGTTTTTTGTTTCCTTTCTCTAGATCAAAATTCTGAGATGACATTAGAATTCTATGTATTGAGGTACTTTACCATATGTATAAACATGCTATGAAATATTGTTTAGTGCCGTGCTCAGAGTTAGATTGTCTTCTTTGAGGCCTGTATTGGATCACACCAGTGGCTTTTGTAACTCTAAAATTAAATGATGTGTCAAACATTATCATAGTAAAACATACAGAAGTGTGTTGCAAATTATATGGAGTTTAATTTGATTTCAGCAAATGTGGTAGCAATTAATGAATGTGTTTGGTTCTATAAAGTTTATCTTCACTTAGCAAGCTGTGTAGAATTAGAGAAATTATGTAATGAATATGTTTTGAGGCTTTTACATTTATTCTCATGTTGAGGATATTTTGGTTCAAAATAAAACTGATTTCTTTATTAAAGTATGTGGTGCAGTGAAAGAGATAAACATCTTACACATTCTTTAAATTGGTGGTTGCCATGTGTTGGAATGCTCTATCATGGTCATGGGCCCAAACTTCATAATACACAGTTCATTGTGGACTGTTGACTCCAGTTGTCTGTTTCCTGCATTGATTTTTGCCTCCATTTATTCTTTATTGCAGTCTAAAAGTTGGTTTTAATTGATTGCCCACAGGATTGACTTGGCTTCTGCTACTTGTTAAGGAAAAAAAAACACCTCTTCTTGCAGGTAAGAGACTCTGAAGATATATTTATGCTTAGTGAATAGAGTTGGGTAATCAGTACTACTCAAGTCTGTTTTAATAAATTTGTTTTAGAAGTTTAAATGACTAAATTATATAGTGATTTTTTCATGTTTGGACCCAGTTGTGATCATTTTTGTAAACATTTTTGTGGAAAGAATTTCTTTTTGGTTTTTGTCATGTAGTGATTTTAAAATTTCTATTCTAATGCTAGTTGTCATGTACTTGTCAAAAGTAGCCATGTAAACGTTTTAAAAGATGCTTTTCTAGGGCGTTCTTATGAATTCCATTCTTACTGAGCTGGTTCTTCTTAGCAAAATGGTTTCCTATTTGTTGCTTGGATTCATTTTGTTATATTTGTACCTCTGACGTTTAGTCAGAAATGACTACCAAATCTGCTTTTTGTTGATGATATTGTTGCTGCTGCTTTGTGCTTTCAAATAATTTCTGACTTACGGTGACTGAAAAGTGAGCCTATCACAGATTTGTTTAAATGGGGGTTATCTTTGCCTTCCTCAGAGGCTGATAGAATGTGGCTTGCCCAAGGTCAGCCAGTGGGTTTCCATGGCCAAATGAGGATTTGAACCCCATCTCCAGTGTCCTAGTCCAACATTCAAACCACTAGACCATACTGGCACTTTTTGTTGATAGAAACAACATAATTTACAATTATATTTGGATCTTGCTTTATTTAGATTAAGGAATGCAGATATTGCAGTCATATCTATAATCTGGAAAACTGGAGCTATGTGCTAATTAGCCTTTTATGTAATTTTAAAAATGGTTGTGTTAGATTGTACATTCCATTATGCTTTGTTTTAAAAAAGAGTCATATGACTTTATTCAAGCAAAGTCATGTTATGTTATGTAGGTATTCAGTCTTTTGCGCTTTCTGATTATAGATTGAAAAAGATTTTATTTTAATAATAATAATACTTATAAAAAAACTTTATTTATACCCCGCCTCCATCTCCATTTCCCCAAGGGGACTCCGGGCAGATAACATGAAGATGAGCCCAATAGTTACAACAAAGCAAAATGAATACAACATACTATCATCATAATACATAAAATAAGATACAATAAAATATATGAAAAGGAAGTAATACAAAATAAACACAGGGTACAACAAAATAAACAAAGACATTAAGCCGAGTGGGCAGGGCCAAGTACAACAGATAGGATTTTCACTTTTTCTCTATATTTGGAAATCGTTTTACTGCACTCTAATAATAATAAATAATAATAACACTTTATTTGTACTACCATCTCCCCAAGGGACTCGGTGCGGCTTACATGAGGCCGAGCCCAAATACAACAATACAAGCAGTAATAACAACAATTCAAGCATTAACAATAAGATCACACGATTAAAACTGTGGGAAGGCCAAATGTAAAATTAAAATTGGAAGTAATGCTGGAACATTGGCGAAAAAGTGATGGGGCGTTTGTGGAAAGCATACAAACAGACTAACTTTTCTATTTAAAAGAGTGTTATCAAAATTTAAAACATTCGTAAATATAAAACAACAGCATAACATTTATTTATTTATTGTGTCAGGAGCAAACCAAACAGTTGTATTGTATTTAAAAAAACACAAAGTTTGCAAACATGGCATTCCAAGTTTGCCAAGCGCAACATAGAGTCAACACGTAATTCAAATTAGAAAACAAAAACGTTATGTTGTAATAGATCTTCACAATTAAAGATGGATTCAAGTGAGTCTCTCCCAAACTGCCTTCCAGAGTTGTGATACCAAGTTAGAAAACATTTTGCTCCTCAATGTCTGCCCATAATTTCTTCTGTGGAGAAACATGGATCTAGCTTCTAAGGTTTATCTTAGTGCTTAAGCAGGTTCAAAAGGAATCCAGAATGATATATACTGTTATCTCAAGACTGCTTATGGTTGCAGAGTAGGTTCTGAATGTTCTGGTATGTTTTAATTGGCTCACTGAATAGAGATGACTGGAAATGCAAATGTTGTTCTTTTTGTGGAAACATGGATACTCAGTCTTATTTTCAGATCCGCCACCTTCCTTTAGTTAAAACATACATATAGAGGACCCATCTTGTGATTTTTGCCAAATAGTTACACGCTGGAAGTGCTGCAATAGTGGGCCACCATAAATCCAGCCCACTAGTGAAGTAGATGGTATAAGTTAAACCAAATTTCAAACTGAACAATGAGCTTTGTGATGGGTCTTAAACCTGTAAATTCCTACAGTAACAAACGTGGACTTTCAGACATTGGATGGACTATTTAAATAGTACTTAAAATATGTTTTGTTGTTACCATCTGTACTTCTGTAACACCTGTGCTATTAGATAATAATTATTATTTCGGACATTTGTATCCCGTCCTATCTCGACCTCTGCAGAGGGACTCGGGGCGGCTAACAAACCAGCACCTCAATAACATTACTTACAGACCCTTTGCTCATTGTACAGAATTGCTTTAGACTTCTTTTATCTACTAACTATTCTACTGAGAAGAGCCTGTTTGATTTTTGTTACTGACATTACAACTAAACTTATATGTGGATTCTCTTGTCAAATAAATGTTTACACTCAATTGTCTTTTAGGCCTTGTAATGCATTTGTATTTATATAAAGTACAAATGCAATAGTGACATTCTTCTCCAATTTACTATATTATGGTAGATTCATTTTCCACTCACTTCTATGTATTTTACATAATTCTGGTTTTATATGCAAAATTGGGGAAAAACAGAATTGGTTACAGTTTTTCAAAGTAATACTGCTAATACTTGGTAAAAGCTAAGAGGAAGGCATGCCCACTTTTATGTACCCACCAACATTTTTCTTCTGTTAATTCTGATTTTATTAATATTTCAGCAGACAATTGGTACTAGTTTTTTAATAAGTGCATATGATAATAAACTGAGAACTCCATTACAGTACAATACATAGTAAATATGACTATTATACAAGTACACAAATTAAATGCATTCCTTATTTAATTGTAATATATTAGTAGAGTTTGCCTTAAATTGTTTTAACATACTGTCAATTCCCACTAATGTGTTACAGTGGATTTCAATTCTAGTTTTGACTTTTAGTAATTAACAAAGACTGATAAATTCCTATTATGATATTGATTAGAGATAAAAAAAGGTTTTTAAATTGTTCATCTACCCCATTAGTCACTTAAAAATACAATGCTCAATGACTGTGACAATCCAAAAATTTCACATTACTTATTATTGAAGTTTTCTTATTACAATAAATACAATTGAGTTAGAAAAGCAAAAAATATTTTGAATATACCACCTTTATCAGCCCCATGTGTATAATTCCATTAAGGGTTAAATGTCAGTTCCAGTAATTAATACATCCAATTCTGTATTTGTTGTCATTGATCTTGTTATTTATTCACTTTATTACAATATAGTTGAAACCTACAAAAGTATCAACATTATAATAGAATTAAAACTATTAACATTATTAAAACAATTTAAAACATTTGCTTAGATAATAAAAAACAATTAAAGCGATACAATTTAAAACTATGTAGCTCCCATTTATAAAATCTTTTCTTGAAAGCCTTTAGTTCCAAAAATTTGTCCAAAATCCCTGGTGATGGAAGCAGAGAGAAGAATGCAATTTAATATAGAATATACTTGGCAGGACTATCTGTTATGCTATTTATTATAGAACATCTTATGAAGTGTATATGTTCCACACTATGGTGTATATGTAATCATAAGGATTGCATTTGTAATTGATTTGGAAAGTTAACATCAGTCTTGCCATTAATGAAATGAAATGACCACACCTTAATGAAAGATTGACAGCATTAATAAAACATTCTTAATGGTACTGTTTGTAATGCTGGGAATTTAGTGCAAGATCTTTAGTGCAATTAGTCCAGAAACACCATGATGCCATGGGTTCATTGTATATACTATGGAGGACCTATTATGCCATAGCCTCTTCAACTTTTGTTTGAAAACCCATGCCTATTTTCTTAATGTTATTTGTGGATGACTTCTCATATTCATTGGAGTTTGCTTAGATATTTTAACTCACCTGTTTCCAGAATCTCAACAACATTGCACCATATATATTTCCTGTCTTGTTTATAATATTGGCTGTATTACTATCCCAGCTTAAATTCATTTTGTAGCCTTCTCTGCAACCATAAGGTTCTTTTTAACAACTTTCCTCAACAACTTCTGATGTTTCAAACACAAATTTGCATGCTTTTGCAGAGGCAAAATGTTTTTTGTTAGCTTCAACCCAATAAATGGTTGTAAGAACATTTTCTTCCTTTTTAGTCATTGTATTCAAAATTGTGTCCTTTTAATGTCCAGCCCTTTTAATCTTTTAACATTATTTGGAACATCAGAAAACTGGTTTTGCAAGGATATCTTGGCTGTATTAATTATTTCTGGCTGACATTTAAAGAGTACATATTTCTGTATTGTCTAGAGGTTCTAGACTTTACTATAGAAACATCAATTTAGCTGCTCAGTTTAGAGGATTTTTCCATGGAGTTAATGGATTTACAAAAGGTATGAAGTACTAGGAGTAGGAATCAAAAAGAGGCAAGGAATATAGGTTTCTGAATACGTAAAGTTGTGATATTAATGCCTAATGTAAAATGTTGAAGTAAGCTTCTAAAATGTAGGGTGTTATGTAACATATGAGCTTAATTGAAGATATTTGTTTATTTAATCTTACGATTGTCATGCCTGAAGCTCTGACTCAGTGTTTTTTCAATACATTTTTGTACCAGTTATGACTAGTTTCAAGCTAACAGTCTTTAATGTTTCATACTGAAACTTAATGGAAAGACTTGCATAATCTTCTAATATACTCTGTAAAAAATGCCACAGATTTACTTTTGGAATCTTTATTCAAGATCTTCAGGCATATTTAAACATATGTAGGTTAAGCATATGGTATCATAAATAGTCTGACCTAGCCGTTGCCTTTTCTCATCTGCAGGTGTGTGTGTTTCAGCGCAGCATGGCTGTGGTCATCCGCTTACAAGGTCTCCCAATTGTGGCGGGGACTATGGACATTCGCCACTTCTTCTCTGGATTGACCATTCCTGATGGGGGCGTGCATATAGTAGGGGGTGAGCTGGGTGAGGCTTTCATCGTCTTTGCCACTGATGAAGATGCAAGGCTTGGTATGATGCGAACAGGTGGTGCCATTAAAGGGTCCAAAGTAACACTGTTGCTAAGCAGTAAAACTGAAATGCAAAATATGATTGAACTCAGTCGCAGGCGCTTTGAAACAGCAAATCTAGATATGCCGCCAGCAAATGCTAGCAGATCTGGGCCACCACCTAGTTCTGGAATAAGTAGCAGGGTTACTCTTCCTACTACAGTTCCTAATTTTAACAGCCCTTCTAGTGTAGTAACTGCAGCTACTTCAGTTCATGAAAGTAATAAAAACATACCAACATTCTCCACTGCGAGTATGGGAACGGCACCTCCCAATCTTGGTCCTACTTTTGGAAGTCCCACATTTAGCTCTACTGTACCTAGTACAGCATCTCCAATGAACACTGTACCACCTCCACCAATACCTCCTATCCCAGCTATACCATCATTACCCCCAATGCCTTCGATTCCTCCTATGCCCGTTCCACCTCCTGTACCTACATTGCCACCTGTGCCGCCTGTTCCCCCAATACCTCCTGTACCACCTGTGCCACCTATGACACCTTTGCCTCCATTATCAGGAATGCCTCCTATGAATCCACCACCTGTAGCACCTTTGCCTACTGGAATGAATGGTTCTGGAACAGGAATGAATCTGAGCAGTAACATGAATCCAATGTTCATGAATCCCATAAATGCTATTCAGATCAATTCTCAGAGTGGTATAAAACCACTTCCTATTAATCCAGATGACCTGTATGTCAGTATCCATGGAATGCCATTTTCAGCAACAGAATCAGACGTCAAAGATTTTTTCCATGGACTTCGTGTTGATGCAGTACATATTCTGAAAGATCATATGGGACGAAATAATGGAAATGCATTCGTTAAATTTTGCTCTCCTCAAGATACATTTGAAGCCTTGAAACGAAATAGGATGCTCATGATTCAGCGCTATGTTGAAGTTAGTCCTGCAACAGAGAGACAGTGGGTGACTGCAGGAGGCCATATAACGTTCAAGCAAACCATGGCTCCTTCTGGACAGAGCCATCCACCTCCTCAGACTCTCTCTATGTCTAAATCTCCCAATGGTCAGAAAAGGTCAAGGTCCAGATCTCCACATGATCAGGGCTTCTGTGTTTATTTAAAAGGTCTTCCTTTTGAATCTGAGAACAAACATGTAATCGATTTTTTTAAAAAGCTAGATATTGTGGAAGATAGTATTTACATAGCTTATGGACCGAATGGGAAGGCACTTGGTGAAGGTTTTGTTGAATTCAGAAATGAAGCCGATTATAAAGCAGCTTTATGTCATCATAAACAATACATAGGAAATCGTTTTATTCAAGTTCATCCCATAACTAAAAAGGCTATGCTGGAAAAAATAGAGATGATTAGGAAAAGACTGCAAAGTTTCAACTATGATCAACGAGAGATAATGATAAATACAGAAGTGGAGACGGGCCCGCCTAAATTATGTGCACGAATATCCAATATTCCCTACAACATTACCAAAATGGAAATTCTTCAGTTTCTGGAAGGTCTCGCAGTAGAAGAAAACTCTATCCAGATCCTTGTTGATACCAATGGCCAAGGCTTAGGACAAGCATTGGTCCAGTTAAAAACTGAAGAAGATGCTCGTAAGTCAGAGCGCCTGCATCGAAAGAAACTGAATGGGAGGGATGTTGTGCTAAGGTTAATTTCTCTTGAAGAAATGAAAGAAATTGAAAGAAACCCTCCTGCTCTGGGGAAAAAAATCTTAAAAATGCCATTACCAGGGAGTACAATAGTGCCAGGAGTACAGAACGCTGGTGGGGATGAACATTCTTTCATAGGTAGTAGTTCAAAGGATGCAAGCAGTGGTCCACCCTTTCATTTTCCCAGTAATTTCGGTGGGTCAAATTCATTTGGACCCCCTCTTCCACCACCAGGTATAGGAGGAGGTGGCTTTGGTGATTCTAGACCCGGAATGCCGTCTATTGGAAATAGTGGTTTGCCGGGTTTGCCTGGTTCAGGAATAGATGTCCCGGGATTTGCAGGTGGGCCTAGTAATTTAACTGGGCCACCTGGTTTTGGAGGTGGCCCTCAGAACTTTGGTAATGGTCCTGGTAATTTAACTGGTCCTCCTACTTTTGGTAGTGGACCTCCAAATCTGAGTGGTGGGCTTGGACACTTAAGTGGACCTCCAGGATTTGTGCCCGGGCCTGGGCCTGCGCCTGGATCTGGACCTGCACCTGGACCTGGACCTGCACCTGGAAACCTACATATTACAGGTCCACCTGGGTTTGGAGCTGGCTCTGGTAAGCCAGGACCAACTGTTATTAAAGTTCAGAATATGCCCTTTACTGTATCAGTGGATGAAATTTTGGATTTTTTCTATGGCTATCAGGTAATTCCAGGTTCAGTGTGTTTAAAATATAATGAAAAAGGTATGCCCACAGGTGAAGCAATGGTTGCATTTGAATCTCGTGATGAAGCGATGGCAGCTGTTGTTGATCTGAATGACAGACCAATAGGTTCAAGAAAAGTGAAACTTGTTCTAGGGTAGTTGGTGTATAAGATGTTGTAGAATAGATACTAGTGCTGTGATTTATGCATTCAGACTGTTTTCTAGTAGTTCCAGTTAGGACCTGTAAATTGTTTAAATTTCACATTTGTTTTGATAAGACTGAGAATCCTGGTTTAACTGTGTACAGGACAATCACTGCATAGGTAAATGTGAGTTGTTCTGCAAGCACAGATACATGGAGAAGAAGGATTCCCATCAATAGAAAAGGTTTGCTGATGTTGAATTTACCATGAAATGTTCATCATGGTGTCTAGATTGGTTTTTATGAAATGTTGGAGAAGGAAATTTTTCATGATGAAGCTAGTGATCTCTTAGTGGGTGCTATTGCAAGCCATTGTAAGATAGAAAGTAGCTATTTCTAGAGTTGGTTAAAAACTGACTGGATTTATTTGTTTACATGTCAGTTATTTCTTTGTTTTGAAATCCTGATTTGACTTTGCATCTAAATAAAGTCTAAGTATACAGATTCTTTATGTACCTTTTCCCTCAAAGATACTTGGTGTATGGACAGTGAAATTATGCACATTAAGAAACATTTAGGCAGTTTTTCTATATATAAACAGAACAATCTGTAAAATTCCAGAATTTTGTGGAATAATTTTGGTTCTTATTGCAACTGATTGTATAGAATAAGATTTTTGCCACAAGTTCAGGTATAACCTTGTTTATTATTCTGAAACTTTACTAACTGTGTACTAAAAATTGAATACACGGAGGTGCCATACAATGCCACAACTTGAAAATATTGCTGTTTGATTAGATGGATTTGTTAGGATTGTATGTTACAGTTGGGATATGATGCTCATTGCTTGGTTTTTGTACACTCTTATGTTGTGTATCTTTTTGAACCACATTCTTATGAAACCTCTTGGTTCTAATTGAAAGCAAGGGATTGATGCAAAGTGTTAATGTTAACAATTATTTGTGTTATTATGACTTCATGAAACCTTGTGAATTATTGCTGTGGATCACTTAAAGAATTAAAGCTTTGAAAACATCTCCCAACCCATTCTGATTTCTTAAGGACTTTCCAACTCTTAATTTTGTGTAGAATTTTGACCTTGTTTTGTAGAGTTCTCTTAGGAAGGATGGAACATGAATTGATACAGAAAATCAAAGTAAATTTTTTGACTGTCCATGATTAGATTTTCATAAACAAGATGATTTGATGAACTATCTGGTACTCCCATATCATTGTAAATTGAACAATTTTTGAGATACCGTGTTCCCATTTAATGAAAAATAGTATTCATTTAAGTTTTCTATGATGGAAGAGTTGATGTTCATAGCCTGGCATAATATAGAAATGCAAGTGGCAACCATTCTGTTCACCCAATGTGTAAGATGGATATTTAAAAATCTCTTAATGTGACATCATGAGAGGATTTGGCAGTACCGTAATTGTTTGAAGGACTGTGAAGGTGTTGCAATGAAGAGGTATTACACATTTTGTAATTCATGGATTTGAAACTGTTTTGACAGGAACAGAGATGGTACATTCCCGAAAAATGACATGATTGTATACACTGTTAAAATTACCAAGCCTCCTGTTAATAAAACTGTGTTTTTGAATATTCATGCTATCTATTTTTAATTGTCTGGTGTGTTCGAACAGCAGACTACTTTTGTCTACTATAAGGCTAATAAACATTTTGATTTGGGGGGAAATGACCTGTTGAGGAAAACGATGTTTTCTTTTATTTTAAAATTGTGTTGTCTAATTCTTGAGTAGTTTGAAATAATTCAATAATTTGGATATTCCTTCTTTATTAGAAAGATTTTAAAAAAGGTTTTGATCCAGATTTTACAGATGGCACTGAGAATCAGTGAAAGTTTTTTCTGGGGATAATAGGCTGGGGCACATTCTTCACCAGTTCTCATGGCATCCCCTTGCACCATTCTTGTGTGCTGGAGAGTCTTTTAGTCCTTTTGGTATTCACACAGGGTGCAGGTGGAAAGAAGAAAGATCACCTGCTTGTCTTCACTTCTGGTGCAAATGGAACTATGCTAACTTTTATTCCTGAGTGCTAAGTGCAAGTCCACTGGAAAGGTTTGAATGTTGTGAGCAGCATCTTCTTCTCTGAGCAGAAGAGAAGCTTTGGATCCAACTGGTAGATTGAAAAAAAAAGTAGTATTTGTCTTTATAACAGTAATGCTTTCAATTTTGAAAGAATTCCAGCATTGCTTTTTTTGGTGTGAAATGAAATTAGTGTGCTAGTTCCTGGACTCCTCCACCTCAATGTAGTGGTTACACTATATACTCATGTATATAGACATTTTAGTCAGAATATCAGACTCCAAAAAATGGGTTGACTTATCCACAGTTTTCATTGTACCTTAACTCTTATCAAAGAAGAACTGACTCCCCCCACCCCCCAATTTCTCTCTGCCGTGGTTTTGCTTCTGTCCTTTTTAAATGCCTGGGTCAGGGAAATAGCAGCGGTGGCCAGGGGTGGCTGGCCACCGGAGATAGCATTGGGTTTTTTTACCCACTCTGTAGAATGACCTTCGAGGTCATATCCACAGGCTATATCAAAATCCTTAATTTTGCCCCGAAACTTGCCCTCGACTTATACATGAGGTCGACCTGTACATGAGTATATACGGTATATTCATTTTGTTTCTTATGTTCCTTGAGGTGGGATTACCATATATCTGCAAACAGTCTAGAAAATATTTCTGGTACATTTGTATACACTTCTCTCCAGATTGTTCTATAGATTGTGTTGGAAATCTTAACTGATCTTTCTCTTGTCTGGTACTGTGGTTTTTAACATATCAGAAGGGCTATTTGTTTAATTGATATGCTGCTGCCTTTCTCCCAGTGTGGACCCAAGGCATCTTACTGCGTGATTTGAAACAAGCTACAGTATGTATCAATTTCCAGATGTAATTAATTTAGCATAGATGCACACAGTATATTAGAAAAACAAGCTGTTTTTTCCTCCCTTCCTCCCTTCCAGGGTACAGCCAAAAATTAACTTGGGAGCCTGTCTTAAATGTCTGATGAAACAATAATTATATCCTGTAAAATTCTGTAAACACCAGAAAATGGACTTTAAGAAATTCCTGCTGGAATAAATTTTCAATAGGTCCCTCCCTCCCTGTTTTATTTCCCTTAAAAGCCGCTCCTTTCAGTTACAGGAACATCATAGTATGATGGTGTGTGGGCAAGTTGGCAGTAATTGCTGAATCCACCTGGTGCTTTGATCTAACACAGAAAGTCCATTTTGGAGTTAATATAAGAGACACAGTACTTCCTTTTGTGCATATTTTATTTAAATATGTACTAAATTATTTTATCTTTTGTGGTTGGCTGCTTAAGTAGGTGAAATTAAATATCCCTTTACATTTTTTTAAAGAAGGAAATAAAAAATGTAAACTTACATAAAGTAGGTAAATACGACAAATCTATTCCAAGGAATCATGAAAGGTTTCCAAAATGAGCTAAGACACTCTAATTTCCTCTTGTTCATTGAATAAGTAATCAAAGCAGTGAACATCCAGAGCAATACCCCTTCCTTCTTGCAGATCTCTGTGACACTAACTATCTGCTTCAGAGGGTTCTCTTAATCAAATTTTGTGTACAGCTGACTTCAGCAGACTATGCCTTCTGATTACCATCATTGAATTTTGGCCTTTATTTTTTAGACATTTTTATATTTACATTTTCATATACAGTATGATACAGTTTACTTTGCAAGATGACTTAATGTTTTCAAAAGCATGAGATATACACTATTAAAATACATGTATAATATTTGTATTCAGCAGCATAGGTATTTCCCCTTTGTAGAATTATACACTGTAGAATTAATGCAGTTTGACAGCACCATGGCTAAATGCTGTGGAATCATGGAACTTATACTTTTACAATTTTGTTTGTCTCTTCTTCCAAATTGTGATAGTGTTTCATCAAACTACAACTCCCATGATTCCATAGCATCGTGCCTTGAAAATTGAAGTGTCAAATGCTTTATTGTACAGTGTACATGCACCCTCAGTTTTTTTGTCCAGCTTCAGTAACTATAAACATCAGAACAGAAAGACCATTATTTTAAATACGTATTTGAAATGTGCTTCTAAGACTGTTGTTTTGAAAACATATTTAGGACTATTGGCCAATATTGGACACAAAGATATATTGAATAAGCATGAGTTGTTATAATATCATTTCAGGAATAGCTTAAGCTAACTAACAACATTGGGAGCACTAAGCAGTCCATTAGAACTCCTCATGGTCTGAATAGATAAAATATAACAGGATCTTTAATAATATGAAATGAACAAACACCTAATGCAGCTAGTGGATGTTGATTAAAACTACAGTTCTACTTAGAGATATCAAAATGCCTAATATTACTTGTTCTGTGTGTATTATGCTTCATTAAGAAATGGAAAATGATTTCATCCTGAGAAGATAATCGGTTAAAGTCCTACAATGAAAATGAAGATATAGGGAGAGACAAGGATAACAGAGTGAATACTATGTGTGATTACATATCTTTAGGCCTTGTTTTGAATTATAAAAGGTCTTCAGAGCAGAAACGGATTTTTGAAGAGGGATTTAAAGTAAGAGATGGTGTACCAAGATGATGTGATATTGATGATCAAAATGAACAAATATCAAGAATCATGGAATTTCTGGTAGCCTGGTGTGGTAGAATTGAAATTTTCTTATTTTTCAACTTTTCTTCTTCTAGGCTTCTTTGGTTAATTGTTAGTTATTGCCAGAATCTAAATTGGCTTCCATTGAGTTTTTAATTTTGTTTGTTCATTATCATTTGAGATCTGGAAACTAAGGACTTTAAAGTTTGAAAATGTATCAGCACGGCCTGTGAATAGACAGAAACAATGTGGAAAGATTTGTGGCTGTGACAACAATTTAAGGGCACACATTTTTAGAGATAGGGGTTTTGTTTTTGTTTTTTTACCTTTAACTACTTTTTAAAATATTCCTGGCTCTT